CCTCCAGAAAGTAGGATGGCGGATGTCTATGTTAGTCAACCATCTGTGTCTTTAAGCCATAAGAAGAGGTTTCTTAATAATGATGGAAATTAAGATGAACTAGAAGATCTCACACATCTTGTTTTGTATTAAACACTAGAACTAATCCTAGTTTAGGTAAGCAAAGGTAAGAGAACTTGGAGGCCTTTTACTTTAATGTGGCAGGCAGATTGTACAGGTGCCTGCTGCTAGTGCATCCCAAAACCCCCCTAAAATGATGGAAAGGGGATTTTAAAGCAAAACAAAAGACATAAATGTAAAGCATTCCCTTCTCTCAAAAAAGAAGGGAAGCAATGGAAAAGGAGATGGTGGCAATGAGAATTTGGGTAAATTGCTGACACTGGCTTCCCTACCAGCATCTGAAGAAGACCCTACATAGGCTCATGCCTAGCTAGAGTGGTGCAGAGATTAGAGCACCAAGTACTCCTGCAAATAGAGGTGCTGAAAACAGTTGAAAGTCTAAATTGAAAGGAGTTGAACCTCATCTCACTTCCCGAACCCTTCCTGTGATTGTTCACCTCGAAGTATCTAGACGGAGGGACAGCAGCAGTCTGAAAGGCTAGAGGTACAATTCTGAAGAGCGAGATTATGAGAGGATTTATATTAGTAGTGAGACCTCTGGCCCTTTGAACTTTTTAGCTCCTAGCCTGTGGCAGTCAGGCTTACAGTTCTAAAACGGGAAATTTTTCTCTTGAGAAGTGGATCAAGGAATGAGGGAAAAAATGTAAATTGAGAGCTTCAAGTCAGCTTTTTTTTTTTTAATATAGCATTTTGCTTTTAAGTAGCAAGTATTGAATTAAATAGGATCAAATATTAAGGAAAACCTGTAAGATGTAAGATAAATAACACAACAAAAAAGTAAAGGCAGACTGAGAAAAATGTTTTAAAAAACCAAAAACTAGTAAACTAAGATTAGACCTTCAGAGAGATGATAAGCTATTGCATCCATAAAGTAAGAACAGGAGGCCATAAAACTGAGCATTCACAAAACAGAAAGTTTCTTGGAAATTGAAAATATGACAAACCAACAGAATGAGAAAATATTCATAAATCATATATCTGATGAGAGTCTAACATCAGAATATTTAAGTTCCATAATAATTCAGAAACGGACAAAGGATTTGAATAGATCTATCTACAAAGAAGTCATACAGATGTCCATAAAATGTTTAACATCATTAACAGATGACAAAAAATGTTTAACATCATTAATCATTAGGGAAATGTAAAACAAAACTACAGTTAAATACCACTCCATTCTTTACAGGATGGCTGTTATCAAAAGGGGGGGGGGGAAGCAAGTGTTGAGGATGTGGAGAAATTGGAACCCTCATACATTGGTGGTGGGAATGTAAAATGGCACAGCCATTATGGGAAATAGTTTGACAATTTCTTAAAAAGGTAAACATTGAATTACCATATCATCCATTAGTTCCACTCCTGGATGTAAAACCAAAGAACTGAAAGCAGGAATTCATACACTTACTTGTATACCAATATCCATAATAGCATGATTCACAATAGGCAACAGGCAGAAACAGCCTTAAGTGTCTGTTAACTAATGAATAAACAAAACGTAGTATATGCACTCAATGGAGTGTTATTCACCCATAAAAAAGTAGTGAAGTTGTGACACATGCTGCAACATTAATGAACCTTGAAAACATGCTAACTGAACTAGGCCAGAAGGAAAGGACAAATCTATGATTGCACCTATTATCAGGTACCTATAGTAGCTAATTTACTGAGACAGAAAGTAGAATAGAGGTTACCAGGGCCTGGTGGGGAGAGAGGTGAGTTAGTATTTAATGGGTACAGAGTTTCTGTTTGAAATAAAGAAAAAGTTTTGTCAGTAGATTGTGGTTATGATCGCACAACATTGTGAGTGCAATTAATGCCACTGATTTATCTATTTAAAATGGTCAAAAGGCAGATTTTATGTGGTGTATTACCAGTTTTTAAAAATGAATAACATACCAAGAAATCAAATTGTGTGTTTTAAATAGGAGAGTTGTATGGTGTGGGAATCGTATCTCAATGAAACCTAGAAAAAAAATGATAGAGTAGGGTGGGGCAATAAGAGGATGGTGGTTAGTGGTTCAAACTTGTACGGAGTAGTAAATAGGCATAGCACACTAATGCACACTAGAGTGGATATAGACAACAGTATCTTATGTAAGTATGTGCTGTAATAAGTGTCACTACCGTGGCAACAATATATAAATGTATCAAAGTAACTGGTTGTACAACTTAAGTTAACACATTGTTATATGTCAAATTGATTCAGTTTAAAAATTTTTTAATGATATCAGAAAGGAAACACTTAGAGAAAGACTAGAAGATGAAGAAATCTCAAGGCAGTACAACAAAGAAGGAAAGAGATAATCAAAAGATCCACCCAAGAGGCCCAGAATCCAAGTGATTGCAGAGCACAGTTCTGCCAAACTTTCTGCCATGATATAACAAGGATCTGTTTTCCAGTAGCATTTTCATTTCCACCTGTGCCTTCTGCTGCCAAGTCTTTAAAGTCTGCCTCTCTCCCACAGTCTATTCAAGGCAGTGGAGGCTTTTTCTCTCCTCCTCAAAATTCTTCCAGTCTCTGTTCCTTCCCAATTCCAAAATCACCCTCCCATTTTTTAAAGTATATTTGTTGCAGTTAACACCCATTTTCCAGGTATCAAAATCTCATCCAAGTAATATCTCCTTTATGAGCTCAAAAGTCCCAGATCTTATTTGAATCATTTAAATGGGTGTATATGAGTGAGGCTCTGGGTATGATCCCTCCTGGGACACTGTTCCTCTGCATTTGTGGATTTTTGAAACCGAAAAACAAGTTTTCTGCTCCTATAATATAGTGATGGCACATGCATGGAATAGTGAGAGATATTCTCATTCAGAAATGGAGAGAAAAGGGTCATTAGTTCTAAGCAATCTTTAAGTCCACCTGTTCAGAGTCGTTAGATTCCAAGTCCTAGAAAGAGTCCTCTGTGGCTCAGCACTCTGCCCTCTACATCATCCTTTTTCATGAAAGGTAGCACTTGTCTACAGCTGAGTTTTATCAGCCTGTTTCCTCTCTCTAGAATTTTGAGGAGTTTAACAATCTTTCATTGTGTACTGTCTCTACCCCTTTCCATTCATTTGGCAGTGTTCCTGCTGGTATATGGTCCCGCTCAAGAACCTTGTGACTGTTGTGTATCTTACAGGGATTCATTTGACTAATCAAATACTGGTAACATTTTCCTCCAAAATTGGCAAAACTTTTTAAAAAATGATGTGGGGCACCTAGGTGGCTCAGTCTGTTAAGCATCCGCCTTCAGCTTGGGTCATGACCCCAGGATCCTGGGATAGAACCCATGTTGGGCTTCCTGCTCAGCAAAGAATTTGCTCCCTCTCCCTCTCTCCCTCCTCCCCTTGTGCTCTTTCTCACTCCTCCCTCCCCCGCCTTGTGCTCTCTTTCTCACTCCTCCCTCCCCGCCTTGTGCTCTCTCTTTCTCGCTCATTCTCTCACAAATAAATAAAATCATTTAAGCAAATTATAATAGGGGTGTTGGAGCACGTATGGTGAAACAGACCCTTGTAGCCACACAGTGAGGGACTTGTATGGATTTTTAGGAGTTGGTTTGAAAATACATTTAAAAATTAAAAATATTTCTAGCTGTTGGATTTATGGGAAATTATCATAAGGAACTAAAGATGTGAGCAATGCTTTATCCTCATTAAAAAAAAAAAAACAAAACAAAACCACAGAACCCTTTGGTGCCTGACTGGCTCATTCAGTGGAGCATGTGACTCTTGATCTTAGGGTTGTGTGTTTGAGCTCACCTTGAGTGGAGATTACTCAAAAATAAAATCTAAAAAACCCTATGGTATTTGCAAATGATAGCTTATATAGGAACCATTAAAAAGTATTATTTAACAAAAATAATGCTTGTAGGGATGCCTGGGTGGCTCAGCAGTTGAGCGTCGGCCTTCAGCTCGGGCATGATCCCAGGATCAAGTCCTGCATTGAGCTCTCTGCAAGGAGCCTGCTTCTCCCTCTGCCTATGTCTGCATGTCTCTCTCTCTGTGTGTCTCTCATGAACAAATAAATCTTTTAAAAAAAATGTCTTGTTGAAAAGCATTAATCTCAGGGGGACTGTTCGGTGTATCTTTTTTTATTATTATTTCTTACTTATGTATTTTAAGTATTCTCTATCCCCAACATGGGGCTCAAACTCCCAACCCCAAGATCAGGAGTCCCATGCTTTTCTGACTGAGCTGCCCAGGCACCCCTCTTCAGTGTATCTTTAGTGTAGATATATATAGTTTACATTATATTGTATGATACGCATGTTCTCTATTTCCTTAATTCTAAGATTTCATTAATTTTGACATACCCATATAATAACTGTTAGGGTGAAAAGAATTTTAGAGACTTTAAGATGGAGAGGAAGTATATATGAGATTATTTCCATGATTTTACAGGTGACCTGTTTTCTTCTTTATATCTTTGTTTATCATCAGGAATGACTGCATTGAGCATATATTATTAACGTGGTTATTTTTATTGTGTAGATCCTTTGTTTATTTATGTATTTATTTAAATGAATGGCGGTTGGTTGTAACTCAAAAAGGCAATTTTGAGTAGAGGCTCTCGGGAATACAGATATCCTGCTATTTGTCCTGAATCTCACCCTTGAAGGTCCAGAAAAGAATGAAATGTATTAGTATGTGTTGTTTGAATACTTTTTTTTTTTTTTAAGATTTTATTTATTCATGAGAGACAGAGAGAGAGAGGCAGAGGGAGAAACAGGCTCCATGCAGGGAGCCCGACATGGGACTCGATCCCGGAACTCCAGGATCACACCCTGGACTTAAGGCGGCACTAAACCGCTGAGCCACCGGGGCTGCCCTGTTGTTTGAATCCTACATCTGATTACCATATCTCTTTAATGGGAGCCTTTTTGTCTTTTTCACCGAAGAAGCTGAAAAGAGTGAAGACTCCTCAGGTGCCACAGGCCTCTCCGGCTTACATCGCACATACAGCCAGGACTGCAGCTTTAAGAACAGCATGTACCACGTTGGAGACTACGTGTATGTGGAGCCCGCGGAAGCCAGCCTGCAACCACACATAGTCTGCATTGAGAGGCTGTGGGAAGATTCTGCTGGTAAGTTGGTTTTCAGTCAAAGGGCACACTGGTGACATGTGACTGTTTTACTCCTCCTCGGTCCTCGGGGAAAAAAAATTGTAACTCAGACATTTTATTCCTTGCAACAATAGTTGTTCTACAGTGTATTATTGGTAAAGAGAACCTAGCACCCTCTATATGAAAAACATAGGATCTAGCACTCTTGGGCCAGTGAGTGGCACAGTTGAGTCAAAGGCACAACTTCCTGAAGTGAGGTTGAGATTCATTCACTCAATGGGTATTTCTTTAAAACACACAGTAAGCCAAACTGTAGGATGGCAGAGCCTCACAAGAACTAAGGACTCATGTTTTGCCTCTGGCAATACCACTCTGGTACAAATCACAAATGAAAAGGAAATTATAGTGTGATATGAACCTTGACTTAGAATTTGATTTCAAAAAGGCGTCCTAGAAAAGTTGCCTTTAATTTAGAACATGGAGAACAAATAGGAGTCAATGAAGCCAGAGCAGAGATATGATTCAGGCAGTCCAGTTTCCTCAGCTGCTTCTCATGAAATACCTTTGTATTCCTTCCCCTGAGTGTGTATCCTGTCCACAACAGAGTAGGGCAGGTATCATCACCTTATTCATCATGTATATTATACATCTTTTAATATGAGGGGGAAAGTTGTATTTTTTTTAGACCTCATCATTCTTCATTACTTTAAAGTATCATTTCTTTAAGATAAATATTTTAAGAAACTGTGGCCTAAAAAGCACATTGTTATGTTCAGGCCTTGGCAGAATGGATGGAGAATTTGCTCATTTTGCAAAGAATGTGTGATTTCTATTAATGGTAATTCCCTCTCTCCCCCTTTTTGTTTTTGAGGTGAAAAATGGTTGTATGGCTGTTGGTTTTATCGGCCAAATGAAACGTTCCATCTGGCTACACGAAAATTTCTAGAAAAAGAAGTTTTTAAGAGTGACTATTACAATAAAGTTCCTGTTAGTAAAATTCTAGGAAAATGTGTGGTCATGTTTGTCAAGGTAAGAAACTCATTATTCCCCAAAGTACAAATCATTCCATGAAAATAACATTTTCAAACAAAAAATAATAATATTTACAAATTAGGTGCTCTGTAAAAATCTTCAAAAAAAAATTTTAAGCTGTATCTATATAGCTGTGTGTAAAGATTTGGGAAGAAATTAATCTGATCATGATGATGAAAGACCACCATTGGCTGCCTACACTATATAACTATATGCGGTTAGCTTAAAATTTTTTATATTGCCAGGCTAATTTTTGAGAATGACATTTTCTGAAAGATCATTTAAAATTATCAGTGTGCTTTTTAGGTAACAAAGTATACTTTGTGTATCTATCTGATACAGGCACATTGAGCCCTATCCAAAGCTTTTAGGAACATTACAAAGCTGTATGAAATGCTAATATATTTTCAAAAGGGCAGTTAGTAAGCTAAAGGATCTATGTATTTAATAAGCCATTCTGTAGCAGGGAAATGCTTGTACATCTCTAACCATTTACTATTTGCTGTTAACTATCAGCAAGTCTTAACGGTTTATTTTTGTTCGTTTGCTTGATTGATGTGTGGTTTTGGTTTTTTTGGTTAATTGGTTTTCAGAAAATGCACCTAACTAATAATCTTATTCTTATATCTCCCAGGAATACTTTAAATTATGCCCAGAAAACTTTCGAGATGAGGATGTTTTTGTCTGTGAGTCACGGTATTCTGCCAAAACCAAATCTTTTAAGAAAATTAAACTGTGGACCATGCCCATTAGCTCCGTTAGGTTTGTCCCTCGGGATGTGCCCTTGCCTGTGGTCCGAGTGGCCTCTGTATTTGCAAATGCAGATAAAGGGGATGATGAGAAGAACACAGACAACTCAGAAGACAGTCGAACTGAAGACAGTTATAACTTGGAAAAGGTATGTAGTTAGAAGCCACACAAAAGAATTTTACATTTCAAAATACCTGTTCCAAGGCCTATTCCAAGGCACTGAGCTTGGGTGGTTCATTCAGTTAAACATCTCCCTTTGGCTCAGGTCATGATCCTGGGGTTCTGGAATCGAGCCCTGCATGGGGCTCCCTGCTCAGCAAGGAGCCTACTTCTCCCTCTCCCTCTTCCCGTTTCCCCTGTTCATGCTCTCTTTCTCAAATAAATACATAAAATCTTTAAAAAAAAAAAATGTTTTTTTAAAACCTATTCCAAAAAAAAAACCTATTCCAGAAAATAAATGAATAAAGCATTCAAATTCAGAATGAGGGATCCCTGGGTGGTGCAGCGGTTTGGCGCCTGCCTTTGGCCCAGGGCGCGATCCTGGAGACCCGGGATCGAGTCCCACGTCGGGCTCCCGGTGCATGGAGCCTGCTTCTCCCTCTGCCTGTGTCTCTGCCTCTCTCTCTGTGTGTGACTATCAAAAATAAATAAAAATTTAAAAAATAAAATATTATTTAAAAAATAATAATAAAAAATAAAAAAATAAAAAAATAAAAACACAAATTCAGAATGAAAAAGTACAACAACAAAAAACCTTAGCCAAACAGAAAGAAGGGAATTAAATAAGGACAGAAATTAAGGCTTAGAAAACTACAGTAGAATTTAAAAGTAATTTTTAATTCTTTTTAACTTTTTATTCTTAAAAAACTCTAATTCTTAAAAAGAAATTTAAATTCTCCAAGTGCTAATTCTTGACATGTCCAATGAGATAAACTACCAACTATCCTAATAAAAAAAGAAGGCAGTTAAGTTCAGACATACACATGTAAAAGAAATTTGAAGAATTTACATTTCTGTTAGTAAATTTGAAAGCCTAAATAAAATGAATAATTTTCTAGGACACTGTAAATTATTGAAGAATCAAGAAGAGATGTAATGAAGTGGACAACAACAAAAAAATTTTTTTAATGCCTTGAGAGCTAATCACAGAGTACTCAAATTCCGTTCTTTTAACCCTTTTAAGAGACCTATAATTATAATACTGTTTAAATTATTTCAAAGCGGGCAGCCCCGGTGGCGCAGCAGTTTGGCGCCGCCTGCAGCCCGGGGTGATCCTGGGGACCCAGGATCGAGTCCCACATCGGGCTTCCTGCTTGGAGCCTGCTTCTCCCTCTGCCTGTGTCTCTGCTTCTCTCTCGCTCTCTCTGAATGAATAAATAAATAAATCTTTTAAAAAAATAAAAATAAAAAAAAATAAATTATTTCAAAGCATGGAGAACAAAGAAAACTTCCCAGTTTATTTTACAAAACTAGGATGATCTTAATTCCAAAGCCTGACAAAATAAAACAGAAAAGGTACAGTTCAATCTAACTTACGAATTTTGATGCAAAAAATACTTGGAGAAAATGGTTTTTTATTTATAAGTGAAATCAAATTACTTATTTAAGAATAATATGACCAAGTAGGTAAGAGTTCATTCTAGAAATGCAAGGATTGGTCAGAATGAGGAAAATTCAGTAATATACATCATTATATTAATAGATCAAAGGAGAGATTATTTGATAAAGTACAGTAACTGTATTTAAGTCTTTAGATGGTATTTCCTCAAAGTGATTTTTTTTAAGTTATATTTGTTTCTTATGCCTAAAGCCTGCTTGCTCTAAGTTACCTATATTTTTCCAAAAGTAGCCAATGCAGACCAAAATAGCAAAAATATTGACAATAAAGTGGCAATCCTAAAGATCATAGGGGAGCAATTAACTGAAGTTTGAAAAACAGGATTCAACAAAGGTATTTCAAAATCCATATACGAGTCAATAACTTTTTTTTTGTAAGATTTTATTTATTGATTTATTTGAAACAGAGAGAGACAGCAAAAGAGAGTACAAGCAGTTAGGAGAGGGAGAAGCAGGCTCCCCACTAAGCAGGGAGCCCAATGTGGGGCTCAGTTCCAGGACCCTGGGATCATGACCAGAGCCGAAGGCAGACGCTCAATCACCTCAGCCACCCAGACACCCAGTAGCTTTTTTATATAAACCAAACTATAATTCACAGGACTTTTGAAAGTAAAATGAAAACGTTGAATATAATGTTGAATATATTTTATCAACTGTTAGGATAATCATATAGAAGAAAATACCTGATTCACCTTAACAACAAAATACATTGAGAAATAACCTTAAAAGGAATACTTGGAACCTATGGGACAAGAAACCGTCTACTCAAGGAATGTAAAAGATTTGGATAAATTGTTTTCAGAATTTGACAAAATGAGGGCACCTCTGTGGCTCAGTTGGTTAAGCCTCTGCCTTTGGCTCAGGTCATGATCTTGGGGTCTTGGGATCAAGCTCCACATTGGGCTCCCTGCTCAGCGGGGAGCCTGCTTCTCCCTCTCCCTTTGCTACTCCCCCGCTTGTATTCTCTTGTTTGTGCTCTCTCTCAAATAAATAAAATCTTAAAAAACAAAACAAAACCTGGAAAAAATAGACTTCTTAGTGTCTTAGAAAAGAAATCCGTTTTACTGTCCTAACAGTGTTACAAGAGAAAGGGAGCTGAGGAAAACATGATCTTCTTTACACTTTACTAGTATGTTTGGGAGTTATAGAGATGTTAATTTTGAAAGAATAAGAAATACCAGTGGAAGCCAACATGGGAATTAACCCACATTTCTTATTATAATTCATAAGACTCCAAGGTCCTCTATGTGCATGCATTTTTTTTCCTTTTGTCTCCTGTCTTTATTTTAATACTGCCTGACTGAAACAAGTCATTCCTGGAACTTTTTAAAAGAATACCTTCAGCAGGTAGAGCATGCAGCTCTCATTCTTGGGGTTGTGAGTTCCAGCCACATTTTGGGCAGAGAGGTTACTTTAAAAAAAAAAAAACTTCAGAACACAACCAACCCATTTCCAAAAGAGAAAGTTATTCTTAATTTTGGGGCTACTTTATAGCTCCCATTCCTACAGATTTCCCCTCACCCATTATATGTGTGACCTCATGCATTCTTCAGGATTTTCCAGAAGAACCATTTATATATCACATCTGAAGTCATAAAGATCAAAACAAATTGTTTGGACCTTCTGAAGGATATTTTTCTTTTTTTCAGTTTGAAGTTTCAGATACTCTCAAGGAGATGCAGTAGAAAATGTTGGGGTTCTGGAGTTTCCTCAACTTTTATATGTTTTGGAATTAGTATGTTTAAAACACCTCATGCTTTGCCTATTCTCTGCATCAGATCAGAACTGTCCTTTTTTCTTTTTCTTGTTTTAAGATTTTATTTGTTTGAGAGAGAGAGAGAGAGAGAGAGAGCGCGAGCATGAGCCAGGGGAGTGGCAGAGGGGAAGGAGAAGCAGACTCCCCGCTGAGCACAGAGGGCAACACAAGGCTCCATCCCAGGATCCTGAGATCATGGCCTGAGCTGAAGTCAAGACACTTCACTGAGCTATCCAGGCTACCCTTTTCATTTTCTATTTTTTGCCAAAACTATAAAACCACAATAATGAATGTATGTTCAAGGCTTTTCCTAAGTCAGACATTGTTCTGCATACTTGATGTGGAGTATGTCATTGAAGCTTCCTAACAGCCCCATCTGATGGGTGCGCTGCCTTTGTTTTATAGGTGACCTAACAGGTCAAGTAATTAGCCCAGCATCACAGCAGCCAGTAGGTGACAGAGCTTGTTATTTATTTAGAAACAGAGTATATGTGTTTATATCACAGAGCTATTTTCCATCCCAGAATAAATAAAAATGATAACTTTATTTTTATTAATGATAATTTAAAACCATTAGTTGTTAATGTTAAAAAACTGAGAGTTTGGGGGGGAAAAATTGAGAGTTTGGGACACCTGGGTGGCTCAGCAGTTGAGCGTGTGCCTTTGGCCCAGGGCCTGATCCTGGGATCTGGGATCAAGTCCCACAATGGGCTCCTTGCAGGGAGCCTGCTTCTCCCTCCATCTGTGTCTCTGCCTCCCTCCCTCTCTCTCTCTCTCTCTCTCTCTCTCTCTCTCTCTCTCTGTCTGTCTTTCATGAATAAATAAATAAAATCTTTTTTTTTTAAATTGAGAGCTCAATAAATGTAGTGAAGAGGAAGCTTGTGCAGAATTTGCTCTTTATGCTCCATAGCAGTGTATGAGTGAGACTGCTCTTGAATGCTGATCCATTCTGTGTGGTACTTTTTTTGCTGAAGGCTATGGGAATGAGGGGGGAGAGAGCAAAGGGGATAAAAGGACCTTGGAGTAACATTTTATGAAACTTAAGCAGAAGCATTGTACAGTGGCAGTATCGTAGCCAATGAGATTTATCTGAGGCACAATTATTTGCTAATTGAAACGTAAGTAGAAATTTAAAATAAATGCAGTATTTAAGAAGACTCAGTTTGATTTCAGAACCCCAATCTTTAGGCTTCCAATCTTCATCAAAACATCTACTTATATAGTTATTTTTTTAAGTTAATATGGAAAGTCAGCTTTTCTTTCTTAACTTTCTCTGTCTACTCCTTGATCGTCAGCTGTCTATCTTCAACCAGTTTCCTTTACCACAGGAGAAAGAAGATGTCCCTGTGGAAATGTCAAACGGTGAACCAGGTTGCCACTACTTTGAGCAACTCCGTTACAATGACATGTGGCTAAAGGTTGGCGACTGTGTCTTCATCAAATCCCATGGCCTGGTGCGCCCTCGAGTGGGCAGGTGGGTGTTACTGAATCAGGGAGGATGCAGTTGGGGCTGATGATTTGGAGGGGGTAGAGATTCATCACTCTTGAGGATGAAGTCAAAAGTTGTCATCATTCCCCCATGATCCTGTAACTTCCCCAGCTTCCTCACACCTGTTTGTCCTGCTTTTGTCTCTAGCCACACTTCCTTCTTATTTTTTTTTAAAGATTTATTTATTTATTTATGATAGACAGAGAGAGGGGGACAGAGACACAGGAGGATGGAGAAGCAGGCTCCAGGCCGGGAGCCCAACGCGGGACTCAATCCCGGGACTCCAGGACCGGGCCCTGGGCCAAAGGCAGGCGCTAAACCGCTGAGCCACCCAGGGATCCCCCACACTTCCTTCTTTAAATCCTCCCCATGAATTTTTCTTTTCTTCTCCTGCCATTTACTGAATTGTCATCCCAGAAATCTCCCTGCCCCCCTCACATGATGAACTCTTAGCTTAAACTTAGATAGCACTTCCTTAAGGAATCCTTTCCTGTCCCCTGCAGACTGGATTAGGTCTCCCCATTACTTTCAGAGCACATGCCATACCAGACTGCAAATTCCCTGAGAATAGGGGAATTTTTTTGGCCTTTTGCTTGCCTTTGTATTCCATGCTCTAAGCACGATGCATGAAACATAGTAAAGGCTCAGATATTTATTGAACAAGTAAGTGAGTGAAAGTTTGGCTACATGGCATAAAACAGCAATGACAGAGTCAGGTACAAGACTGGGCAGTAGTGGATAGCAGTTATGAGTAGTGGGTCTTGGTGTGAGTTCCAGCCCTGCTGGCTGCATATCCTTAGGCAAATGATTGACTTCTCTGAACTCCAGTTTCCTCATTCTATTTTCTCTTCATTCAGTAATCATTTGTTATAAACTTCGTATTTGCTAGGCTATAAGGATACCTTGGTGAATAAAACAGACAAATAGCCTTAATACTGTGGATCTTTGTTCTAGTGGGAAGACAATAAACATTGTGAATAAAAAAGAGTACAGTACATTAAGTTGTGATATGTGCTGTGGAAAAAATAGAAAAGACTAGGGAATTAGGAGTGCCATGGTCAAAGTTGAAGAGATGCCAAAGTTTAAATAGGGTGGTGTGTCTAGACCTCTCTGAGAACTGATAGTTGAGCTAACACTTGAAGAAACTAAGGGAGTGAGTAATGTGAATATCCAGGGGGAAACCTTCCTGGGAAGCAAAACAGCCAGTATGAAGACCTGAGAGAGAAGTGTGCCAGGCCTGTCCAGATCTGGAGAGTTTGTTACAGGAGGAGTGAACAGTACATTGAATTAGATAGAAGATGAGGGTTCACAGCATATGGTGCAACTCTTGTGGACCTTAGAGACCATTGTTGGTACTTGGGCTTTTACTGAATTAAAGGAAGTACCATTGGATTCTTTCTTTTTCTTTTCTTTTTTCTTTTCTTTCTTTCTTCCTTTCATTCTTTCATCCATTCATTCATTTTTAAGATTTTATTTACTTGAGAGAAAGCAAGCCCGATAGGGGAGAGGCAGAAGAAGAAATAGAAATAGACTCCCCAGAAGAGAGACATGGCAGAAGCCAGACATGGAGCTTGTTCCCAGGACCCCAAGATCATGACCTGAGCCAAAGGCAGACACTCAACTTACTGGGTCACCCAGGTGCCCCACTTGGATTCTTTTAAGCATAGATGTGATATCTGAATTAGTTCTTAGCAGGATTACTCTGCTACTGGTTGTTGAGAGTAGCCTTAAAGGGTCAAAGAAAAGCAAGGAAATTTGCTAGGAGGCCGTTGGCAATTATTTAGGCACCAGTGATTGGTGACTCAGGCCAGCAGTCAGATCCTGTTGTTAATAGGAAAGGTTGAGTTAATAGGATTCCTGATAAATGGGATGTGGGGTCCAAGAGAGAAGGAGTCAAGGGTGACCTCTGTGTTTTGGCCTGAGGAACTGGAAGGGTAGAGTTAACACAAACGAAAGTGAGGATGTTGCTTCATGTCAGGAACCACAAGACAATGGGGACAGTAATCCCAACTTGACTGGAGGTGGTTGTGAGGAATGGTATGATACCTAGCACACAGCAGTCAGATGTGAATTTTTATTTTTGTCTGGGGAGATAATATCTGGCTTTCATCAGATTCTCAAAAGGTGAAGGGCTATTTTACCTTGACACACAAAAAGGTCATGTACCCCATTGTCTTAAATACCTGCCACTCATGTGAGCTGACCCCAAATATGGATGGTTTGTCTACTCCACTTGATGAGTCCAGTGATAGATGCTCAGTTTTGTTTTCATCATGAGCATTTCAGGAAAAAAAAACCTGGGGCTTAGCTAAAACTATTAAGTCATATGCCTTGGTATTGTGTTAAAAAAATTTTTCCCTCAGATGAGTAGCCAATGTCCATCTCTCTTTTCAAATGTCTTCTGTACTCAAAGTGGGAAAAAGTCAAGGAAACTGTGTTATCAAAATAGTCAATGGAACTCCTAAGTAGTTAAATATCAGTAAGTTTTCAGTTAAAAGAATTTTTGATAAATTAACCCTTCAAAAATGAAACATATCAGAATTCTATTTTAATGGAATTTCTCCATTTTTCCCCCTAAGAATTGAAAAGGTATGGGTCCGAGATGGAGCTGCATATTTTTATGGCCCTATCTTCATTCACCCAGAAGAGACAGAACATGAACCCACAAAAATGTTCTACAAAAAAGAAGTATTTCTGAGTAATCTGGAAGAAACCTGCCCCATGACATGTATTCTGGGTATGTATTTATGCCTTTTCATTTAATCACATTCATCCTACAACAATTGGTTAAATATTCCTGTGTTAGGCACTGTTCTAGGTACTAGGTATACAGCGATAAACAGACCAGAGTCTGCTCCCCTAGAGACGTAACAATGGGGCATAGGTTGGGGAGTCAGTAAATGAATTAAGTCTATAGAAGATCAGGTAGCAATGAGAGCTCTGAATGAGAATAAGGCAGAGGAAGAGGATGGAGAGTAATGTTGAAGGGAGAACTTGTTTTAGGTAATGTGGTCACCAAAATCCTTTCTGATAGGTGACATTAGTAGAGCGCTGAAGACAGCGAAGAAGAAAACCATCTGAATATAGATAGCCATGCCTCGTTTTATTGTGCTTTGCTTTATTGCGCTTCATGGATGCTGTTTTTTTTTTTACAAATTGAAGGTTTGTGGCAACCCTGTGTCAAGCAAAGTCTGCCAGTGCCATTTTTCCAACAGCATTTGCTCACTCTGTGTCTCTGTCACATTTTGGTAATTCTCACAATATTTCAGATTTTATTACTGTTATATTTGAGATGCTGCGATCATGATAAAACTTTAATGGGGATGCCTGGGTGGCTCAGCAGTTGCGCATCTGCCTTTGGCTCAGGGCCTGATCCCAGGATCTGGGATTGAGTCCCACATCAGGCTCCCTGTGAGGAGCCTGCTTCTTCCTCTGCCTGTGTGTCTGCCTGCCTCTCTCTTTCCCTGTGTGTATCTCATGAATAAATAAATAAAATCTTAAAAAAAAAAAAAAAAGCTTTAATGGATGAGGGAGGAGTTTTTTCTTATGGATGAGCAATGGCAGTGGTTTCTTGAGAAGGAATCTACTCATGGTGAAGTTGCTGTGAAGATTGTTAAAATGGTAACAAAAGCGCTAAAATGGTAACAAAAGATTTCAAATATCATGTAAACTTAGTTGTTAAAGCACCATCAGGATTTGTGAGAATTGACTTCCAGTTTTGAAAGAGGTTCGACTGTGAGTAAAATGCTATCAGCATCACATGGTACAGAGAAATCATTTGTGAAAGGAAGAGTCAATCAATGTTGCAGACTTCACAGTTGTCTTACTTTAAGAAATTGCCACAGCCACCCCAACCTTCAGCAATCACCATCCCAATTAGTCATTGGCCATCATCATCCAGGCAAGACCCTCCACCAGCAAAAAGATGAGGACGCCTACCTGGCTCAGTCGGTAGGGCATGTGACTTTTGATCTCCGGGTTTTGAGTTCCGGCCACACCTTGGATATAGAGTTCACTTTAAAAAAAAGGTTACAACTCCCTGAAAGCTCAGATGCTGGTTAGCAATTTTTAGCAATAGTGTTTTTTAATTGTAGTGTGTACATTGTTTTTTAGACATAATGCTATTACACACTCATTGGACTACAGAATAGTATAAACAAAACTTTTATATACAATGGGAAACTAGAAAATCATTTGACTTGCTTTCTTGTGATACTCACTTTATTAAGGTGATCTGGAACTGAACCTACAATAGTTCCAAGGTATGCTTGTATCTGAGATTTTACTCTTTTTAGGCACAGCAAACCTAAAATGCAAAGCCCTTAAGGCATAGTATCTGGGCATGTTTGAGACACAGTAAGAAAGCTGGTGGCTGAAGCAGGCAGAGCAAGAAGGAGAGTGTGGCAGGAAATGAGCCCCGCCCACCCCAGGGCACAGTCATGGTAGGTCTGTTGGAGTGTGCTGAGATTGAGTTTGGAGCAGATAGGAAGTCCTGTGGGGATTGTGAGTTGAGAGGCAGTGGTGAGCCATCATATGCACTGGAGGAATCACTGTGGCTGGAGTATGGAGAATATGTAAGAATAAGGTAGGAAGCATGGAAAGGAGTTAAAAGACTTTTACAGTTTCCTTCAGACCCTTAACCCTAGTAATGTTGTCTGTAATCCAGAAATGATCAGGGCTCGTGTTGGGGTTTCTGTTCAGTCATCCTACTGAGTGTTCCCATGCACTCTGCTTCTCAGATACAGTTATATGCATCATAGGCTGTCATTGTTTTCAGCAGTTTTGTTTTGTTTTGTTTTTAAGATTTAATTTATTTATTCATGAGAGACAGAGAGAAAAGCAGAGACACAGGCAGAAAGAAGCAGGCTCCGTGCAGGGAGCCAGATGCAGGACTCAATCCTGGCACTCTGGGATCATGCCCTGGGCCAAAGGCAGCTGCCCAACTGCTGAGCCACCCAGGTGTCCCAGCTGTTACGTTTCTTCTTGCCCCGAATTAGTCTTGCAGCTTACTTATAAACCAACTACTCTTCCCATCTTTTGGTATAGTTTTCCAAAAGGTTACTAAGTACAAACTTTATATTGATTCCACATGGTTATAAAGAAGCCACCATCATCATGCTTATGGCCAAGAGGAAATAACTGTTTTACACTTAGACTTTATTTATTCACTAAGTTTACCTACATTGTTTTGGTGCTTCAAATTTTTTCAGAAGTGGATATGATAAAAATACCTGAATGGCTGGTAGTTCAACACATTTTCCACTTTGCACCCTTGTGTACCTTGGGGAGAGAGGGATCAAAGGCTAGTGAAGTTACTAAGTCCTTCTTGAGTTTCTGTAGCAGAGAGTATCTTCCTTTTAACTCATGATCCAGACTAAAGTTCCCTAAGACCTTACCCCCAGCCAGAAGACTCAAAAGGGAGCATGGTAAATGTGAGACTGAAGTCTCCTTTTTTAAGGTAACCATATCATTTATTGCTTTTTTTCTTAGTGACTACACTGGGAATTACATCTTAAATTTGTGGCAATCTAGTTTGAGTCAATACTACCTTAGCTTCCATTGTATATTAAACTCTGCTCCTCTACAGCACCATCCCTCCTCATTTGTGTTATTGTCAGAAATTACATCTTATATTGTATGTATTTATTGACATAAATTTATAATTAAATCATATAGGAGGGAAGAAAGAATTCAAAACAAAATACAATATTGGCTTTTATATTTACATATGTGGTTATCTTTATTGGTGTTTTTTATTTCTTTGTGTGGTGTCATTATCTGATGTCCTTTCATTTCAGCTTGAGGATTTCCCTTTAATATTTCTTTTTGTTTTTTTTTTTTTAAGATTTTATTCACTTATTCATGAGAGATACAGAGACAGGCAGAGGGAGAAGAAGCAGGCTTGCTGCAGGGAGCCCAATGCAGGACTCAGTTCCAGGACCCCAGGATCATGACCTGAGCCAAAGGCAGATGTTCAACCACTGAGCCACCTAGGCACCCCTCCTTTAATATTTCTTGTAGACCAGGTCAACTAACAACAAACTCCCTTGTCTTTTGTTTATCTAGAAGTATCTTGGTCTCCATTTTTGTTTTTTTTTTGTTGTTGTTTTTTGTTTTTTTTTTTTTTTTTTTGGTCTCCATTTTTGAAGGGTACTTTTGCTGTGTGTAAAGTTCTCCATTGACAGTTTTCTCTCTCATGCCTTCCATTAAATTGGGGGAGTTTTTGGTCTTCACATATTCTTTCTTCTCCTTTCCCTCTCTCTCCTCCCTCTGAGATTCCCATTAGGCCTACATTGATGTGCTTTATGGTGTGTCACAGTCTCATAGACTGCTCCTGGTCTTTCTTCTTTCTGTTCCTCAGACTGATCATTTCAGTTGGCCTATCTTCCAGTTCACAGGTTCTTCTGCCTGTTCAAATACTCTAATGAAGGGCACCTGGGTGACTCAGTCGGTTGAGCATCTGCCTTCACCTTGGGTCATGGTCTTGGGGTCCAGGGATCGTGCCCTGTATCGGGCTCTCTGCTCAATGGGGAGTTTGCTTCTCCTTCTCACTCTCCCTCTGTGTTCTCTCTTTTCTCTCAAATAAATATTTTTTTAAGATTCTTTAAATTTATTAATGAGAGACACAGAGGGGGAGAGAGAGAGAGAGGCAGAGACACAGGCAGAGGGAGAAGCAGAGAAGCAGGGAGCCCAACATGGAACTTGATCCCTGGTCTCCAAGATCACACCCCAGGCAGAAGTCTGCTCTAAACCGCTGAGCCACCCAGGCTGCCCTCAAATAAATCTTTTTTTTTTTTTAATCCTGTAATGAATTTTTCATGTGTACTTTTCAAAAAGTACTTTGTTGTACTTTTCAGCTCCAGTGTTTCTTTTTTTTTTTTTAAGATTTTATTTATCCAAGAAAAAAAGCACAAGGGGGGAGCAGAGAGAAAGGGAGAAGCAGATTCCTCACTGAGCAGGGAGCCCAATTCAGGGCTCAGTTCCATGACTCCAAGATCATGACCTGACCAAAGGCAGGAGCTTAACCTACTGAGCCACCCATGCACCCTTCAGCTCCCGCATTTCTATTTAGGCTCTCCAATTCCTGTCTCCTTCTTGATGATCTCTGTGTGGTGAGTCAGCATTCTGATTTCCTTTATTTCTTTGTCCATGGTTTGCTTTAATTCTCTGAGCATATTTAAGACAGTTGATTCAAAGTGTGTGTCTCATAGGTCCAATGTCAGCTTTCTCTGGGACAGTTTCTGTTCATTTCTTTTATCCTGTGAATGGACCATTGTTTCTTTGCATGGCCTCATAATTTCTTATGAAAACTGGATATTTTGAATATCATAATATTATACCTCTGGAAATTGGATCATCCCCTTTCTTCAGGTTTCATTGTTACTGCTTATTGTGGGTCGTAGTTGCTTTTTTAATGTTTTTTTCTTTTTTTAAATAAGATTTTATTTTATTTGAGAGAGAGAGAGAGCACAAGCTAGGGAGGGGCAAAGGGAGAGGAAGAAGCAGGCTCCCCGCTGAGCAGGGAGCCTAACATGGACTTGATCCCAGGACCCTGGGATCATGACCTGAGCTGAAAGCAAGATACTTAACTGACTGAGCCACCCAGGCTCCCTGTGATGTTTCTAAACTAGTTTTTTAAACTCTGTTTGCTGTTTTGTGTGGTCACTGAAGTCTCTGTTCTGTTAGCCTAGTGGTCAGCTAGTGACTTAATAAGGATTTTCTTAAATACTTGGATCAGTGACAACAACAAAATCCCAGTCTTTGCAGCTAGAGGCTGTGTCTGTGTTGGAGCATACCTTCATCACTCAGCCTGGAAGTTTACAACTCTGCCTTTGCCTTTACTTCCTGCTTGCACAGGGCTTTACTGTCAACCAGAGGTAAGAGTTTAGGGCTTTCAGGTCTTTTCTGAGAATGTACCCTGCCTGTGGCGTGTGCATGACTCTCTGGATTCCCCAGAATGTTTTGAAGCTTTTCAAAACTCTTATTCCCAGGGCACCTGGGTGGCTCAGTGGGTTAAACATCTGCCTTTGGCTTGGGTCATACTCCCGGGATCCTGGGATCGAGCCCTGCTTCGGGCTCCATGTTGGGAGAAAAGAAAACCAAAAACTCATTCCCCAAAGCATCTCACAGCCCAGGTTTTTTTTGCCAGGCTTTTTCACATTTGTACCATTTGCTTCATCTGGCAGCATCTGGTTCATTTGCCTTCAGGTACTTTCAGCAGAAGTACCATAGCCACTTCTCTGATGTGAGAGGATTCCAAGTTAGGTGAAATAAAGGCAGACCCTTTCCATTAGTACCTCAGGAAGCCACCCATGTTGGTCAAAACAGGCAACCAGGGCAGCCCCGGTGGCTCAGTGGGCAGCCCCAGTGACTCAGTGGTTTAGCACCTGCCTTTGCCCCAGGGTGTGATCCCGGGGACCCAGGATCGAGTCCCACATCAGGTTCCCTGCATGGAGCCTGCTTCTCCCTCTGCCTCTCTCTCTGTGTGTCTCTTGTGAATAAATAAATAAAATCTTTAAAAAAAAAAAAAAAAAAAAAACACAGGCAACCACTATTCTTTGAGAACAAGGACTGCTCAGCTCCCTCCAGCACCAGAAGTGCTCCCTCACACTAGGAGTGCAGACTGCCATCTTCATGACTGCTGAGCCAGACAAGCGTGGACAAATGGGGCAAGAGTAAGCTGAAATGCTCTCCTGCAGGCTACCTCTCACTTTTTTTCTTGATTAAAGATTCACGTAGTTTTAAACGTTTGGCTGTTTTCCAGAGTTCCAGTAATGTTTTGACAGATTTTGCTGGCTTTTCCCCATGTTTCTATGAGGGAATGGCCCTTGAATCTCTCTGCTTCACTATTTTCACCAACATCATTTGGAGTAATTTCTTTTTATAGACACCTATTAGAATTGCACTCTGTAATTTATAAACTACATATCCAGGATCTCTTTTATTTTTCACTGTGACCCTGTGTGAAAGATGCTGTCATTGTCAGAAAAGTAAAGTTCATGTCCAGTACATTGGCCAAAACTAACACCTAGGTCGTCTTGGCTTTTGCTTCTGTACTGGTGTGTAGATTGTTGGTTTACAGGCAGCAGGAACACTGTGAAGAGTGCAAATATTATCCAGCAGGACACTAGCCATACAGTGAGATGTTACTTCATCTTGAGATAAACCGCAAAAGGAAATGCATCTAGTGGTCACAAAACGGGATTTCAGCCCAGCTCATGCATTTTAGTACCCACCCCCTAAGAAAGAAAAAGTGTTTTTGTTATATTTTATATTGATTTTCAAATGCAAGGAGGCAGATTTTATTTTTAATTAACTTGTTTCTTTTTCTTTTTTAAGATTTTTATTATTCATGAGAGACAGAGAGAGAGACAGAGACACAGGCAGAGAGAGAGACAGAGACACAGGCAGAGATCCCAGGACCACGGGATCATGCCCTGAGCTGAAGGCAGACATTCAACCCCTGAGCCATGCAGGAGTCCCTAATTAACTTGTTTCTATAGAAAAATTTAAAGTGTTTAGGGAACCCTGGGTGGCGCAGCGGTTTAGCGCTGCCTTCAGCCCAGGGCGTGGTCCTGGAGACCCAGGATCGAGTCCCATGTCGGGCTCCCGGCTTGGAGCCTGCTTCTCCCTCTGCCTGTGTCTCTGCCTCTCTCTCTCTGTCTCTCATGAATAAATAAATCTTTAAAAAAAAATACAAAACATGTAGCATTTTAACCATTTGTAATTGTACAATTCAATGATGTTAACTAAGTCCCTTAACAATATTGTGCAACCATGACTACTGTTCATTTCTAGAATTTTTCATCTTCTGGAAAGAAACTCTGTACCCAACAAGTAGTAACTACCCATTTCTCTCAGCACCTGGTAATATCTGTTCTGCTTTCTGTCTCTATGAATTTTGCCTATTCTAGGTAATTCACGTAAGTGAAATCATGTCAGTTGTCCTTTTGTGTCTGGCTTATTTCATTTTAGCATACTGTTCTCAAGGTTCATCCAAAGTGTAGCACGTATCAGAATTTTTTTCCCTTTCAAGACTAAATAATTTTCATTGTATGTATATACATCATTTTGTTTATTGATTCATCTGTTGATGGCCATTTGGTTTCTGCCTTTTGACTATTGTGAATAAAGTTGCTGGGAACATTGGCATATGAGTGTCTAATTGAGTTCCTGTTTTCAGTTCTTTTAGATATTTACCTAGAGATAGAATTGCTGGATTATATAGCAATCTGTTTAACTTTTTGAGAAACTGCCAGGATGTTTTCCACAGCAGTTAAAGCATTTTACATTCCTACCAACAATGGATAAAGTTTCCAATTTCTCCATATCCTTGCCCATACGTGTTATTTTCTGGTTTGTTTTTTTAACGTAATAGCCATCTTAATGGGTGTGAAATGGTATCTCATTGTGGTTTCAATTTGCACTTCCCTAACAATGATGTTGAGCACTTTTTCAGTGTGCTTATTGTCTGTATGTCTTTCAGGAAATGTCTATTCAGATCCTTTGCCTGAAAGGATCTTTTAATTGGGTTGTTTGTCTGGTTATTGTTGAGCTGTAGGAGTTCTTTGTATGTTCTAGATAACAGACTTTTACCAGAGATATGATTTACACATATTTCTTGGCAACTTTGTCAAAAATCAATTGCTTATAAAAACCCAATTGTGCGGATTCATACCTAGACATAATTCTATTCTGTTGATTTACACTTCTATCCTTAGGTCTGTGTATACCTTTTAAATCTTCTGACTTTTGAGCCATATGAATGTATTCATTCAAAAATAATAAAAATTTAGGGGCACCTGGGTGGCTCAGTGGTTGAGCATCTGCCTTTGGCTCAAGTCATAATCCTGGGGTCCTGGGATCAAGTCCTCCATCAAGCTCCTACAGGGAGCCTCCTTCTCTCTCTGCCTATGTTTCTGCCTCTCTCTCTCTGTGTCTCTCATGAATGAATAAATAATAAATAAAATAAAATATTAAAATAATTGTTAGCTATAGCCACAGTTTACTCCTTTAATTTCCCTCCAATTTGCCTTCCAGGAAAGTGTGCTGTGTTGTCATTCAAGGACTTCCTCTCCTGCAGACCAACTGAAATACCAGAAAATGACATTCTACTTTGTGAGAGCCGCTACAACGAGAGTGACAAACAGATGAAGAAATTCAAGGGACTGAAGAGGTTTTCACTCTCTGCCAAAGTGGTAGATGATGAGATTTATTACTTCAGGTAAAGTTTTAAAAACTAAAGAGGAAAGAGCACATCAGCTTTTAATAGGAAAACTTATATCAAAATAGTATAGATCATAGTGGTTTTTTGTTTTTCTTGTTAAGTCTAAAACCAGAGCAGTATATGTTTCAAATAGAAAATAATAATAATTCAGCTAGAAATTAAAGGAAAATCCTCATAATCTGCTGATATGTGGTAACTGCCCTTGTTGTAGACTCCGGTAATTATAAAATGGAGGCAGAAATCCTTGGTTCTCATTTTTAGCCTATTAAAATGTTGCCTAGTTCCATAGTATGAAAATTCTTTTCGCTATACTATATAGGCAACTAGATCCAAACTTTGGATCTAGTACGTTTGTGGATATTCAACACAATCCTTTAAAAACTAGCATCCATAGTATGTGTGACTTTATAAATAGACATTGAAGGTCTTTCCTTTGCTGACTTAAGGAGTGTACGTTGCAGATTGCAGGAAGTCTTTCCTTTTTTTTCTTTTTTTTTCTTTAAGATTTTTATTTATTCATAAGATACACAGAGCAAGAGAGGCAGAGACATAGGCAGAGGGAGAAGCAGGCCCCATGCAGGGAGCCTGACATGGGACTTGATCCCGGGACTCCAGGATCACGCCCTGAGCCAAAGGCAGACGCTTAACTGCTGAGCCACCCAGATGCCCCAGTCTTTTCCTTTTTTTAAGATTTTATTTACCTATTCGAGAGAGAGAGAGAGAGAGAGAGAGAGAGAGAGAGAGAGAGAGAGATGGAGGGGGGGCGGGTAAGAACAGAGAGAAAGCAACAAGCAGACTCTTCGCTAAGCACAGAGCCCAGTGCAGGGCTCGATCCCATGAAATCATGATCTGAGCCGAATCCAAGAGTCAAGACACTTAACCAATGAGCCACCCAGGTGCCCCAGGAAGTCTTTTCTAAATATTGAGGCAGAGGGTAGCCCTGATGGCCCAGCGGTTTAGCACCGCCTACAGCCCAGGGCCTGATCCTGGAGATGCGGGATCGAGTCCCACATCAGGCTCCCTGTGTGGAGCCTGCTTCTCCCTCTGCCTGTGTCTCTGCCTCCCTCTCTCTCTCTCTGTCTCTGTGAATGAATAAATAAAATCTTTTAAATAAATAAATAAATAAATAAATAAATAAATAAATAAATAAATAAATAAATAAATAAAGGAGCCTGCTTCTCTCTCTGCCTGTGTCTCTGCCTCCCTCTCTCTCTCTCTGTTTCTATGAATGAATAAATAAAATCTTTAAATATATATATATAGAGAGAGAGAGAGAGAGGGAGGCAGAGCATTGCTTTCTGATCAATCCTGGAGTGGTGTTTGGTGATTTTTTTTTTTTTCACTTCTTTCAGAAAACCAATTGTTCCTCAGAAAGAGCCCTCACCTTTGTTGGAGAAGAAGATCCAGTTGCTAGAAGCAAAATTTGCTGAGTTAGAAGGTGGAGATGATGATATTGAAGAGATGGGAGAAGAGGATAGTGAGGTCATTGAGCCTCCTTCTCTACCTCAACTTCAGACCCCCCTTGCCAGTGAGCTGGATCTCATGCCCTACACACCCCCACAGGTGACAGTGACAAGTTCCTGTTACTTGTTTTATTCTCAATTTTGGTTCATACCACACTCAAGCCAAGGGAAGGAGACATCCAGCTCACACATGTGAGCTTCAGCCTGGAATTCTGCAGGAAAGAACAGATTTTTTTCTTTCTTTCTTTCTTTCTTTCTTTCTTTCTTTCTTTCTTTCTTTCTTTCTTCTTCTTTCTTTCTTTCCTTCTTTCTTGATGCCACTGAGAATTTTAAATTTCATGTTTTTTTAAATGTGCACAGATAGCTATTTTTAATGGCATGTTTAGTTAGAAAGCTCTCCCTGCCCTATATTAAAGGAAAAACAGTGAAGAGTGGCATCACCCTATTATTCTAGCTTTTACTGCCCATATCTTTCCAGTCGCTCTTTAGACCTTCATCTGGGTGTAGGTGATCCCTGTTGGCATTTTTTTTCTCATTCAGAATTTTCTCAAGACAGAATTGTGAGGTCACCATTATGGATTATAGTCATGGAATCCAGTGAAACTTTCATTTATTTATTATATGGTAAGCGGCAAGGATGAGCTGTTCTGACCAAGGATATGGCCAGCTATAAATTAAACGTGTCTGCAAAACAGTAACTATTGAATCACATGTTCCTGGCTTCCAGAAACCTTGAGCAGTTAACCAGATACGATGTTCTGATGCACTATAAGAGCTCTCTGTCTTACAGTCTACCCCGAAGTCTGCCAAAGGCAGTGCAAAGAAGGAAGGCTCCAAACGGAAAATCAACATGAGTGGCTACATCCTGTTCAGCAGTGAAATGAGAGCTGTGATTAAGGCCCAGCATCCAGACTACTCTTTCGGGGAGCTCAGCCGACTGGTGGGGACAGAATGGAGAAACCTTGAAACAGCCAAGAAAGCAGAATATGAAGGTAAATAAAGACTAGGTGCAGCTATCTCAGCTTTCTAAGCAAGGGGGTCTTTTCAGGTATGCACGTGCGTAAACAGGTTTTACTTTCCTGTTCTGACCACTTGCACATAAACTTTGTGTTGGGGACTGTCTCGAATGGCTCCCATCCAGCAATTTAAATGCCAGCCTTGTCGTGACTGAGCAAGCACTGCCCCTGACTTGGCCTTTGATCCTGGTGGGTTTTTGTTTTTTCCCAAAAAATTCCTCAACTATTTTGCTGTTAAAAATTGCATGGTTTTCTTCCTTCATTGAGTTCTGTAAGCGAGCACACATGTGTTGAGGTGGGGAATGATTGTACAAGGATGTTAAATTAGAATTATGGTTAAAATTCATCTGAAAGGAAGCTTTCAAAAGCAGGATCTATTAGGGCTCTTGATAAGCCACATGTTTGAGCTCCAGGCTGAGGCTTGGCTGAAAGCGCTTGGTTTCCTAGGCCAGTTCTGGCCTATGCTATGTTTGCATTCATAGCTACTTTCAAGGCACTTAAGGTCTCTGATAAAGCTCAACCACCTTCATTTTCCTTTTACTCTATAATTTTGGTCCATGAGCTATCATTTAAGGATTTGGTGGTTCTCAGCCTTTAGGGACAAGTACTTGAAAGAGATTTGGGCAAGGGGTTATTTAGTTGTTTTTTTTAATGTCAGGCATGCCTTTAATAAAGAAATGAGTAATGAACATTAAATGAGTAATGAACATTAGCTTAGGCAGGACTCTTGCCTTTGGAGCTATATTTTTCCATTTGGAATTATGTATAATGGTTCATTTTGCCAGTTTAGAGCTCTCTCTCAGTGGTTCACCACTATGGTCAACCATTACTCTTCTTGGCCGGGTCTAAACCCATTATTTTCTAGTAAACATAAAGAAATAAATTGTTAAGGCTGCCTCCCTCATTAAAGTTTGTAGTGTTTCCAAAGAAATTAAAAAAAAAAAAGATTTTGCTCCTTTCATTTATAGCAATGGATTGATAATTATAAAATTATCTGACAGGTTTCCCCAAAGATTTTCTGCAGAATCCTAATCCTATAAGATGTTCAGCCAGAAAAACCTTTCTGGCAAAACCAGTTTGAAAACTACTCCAAAAAAAAAAAAAAAGAAAGAAAGAAAGAAAAGAAAACTACTCCAAACTCTTTCGCTCTTGAAAACTTACAGTGCATATTCCCATATTAAAGTCTTTAAGACCTACAGGAAACACCTGTTTTTTTTCACCTGGCATTTTCTGAACCTTGACCATGTATTCATATAATACCTTTTAATATTGTAAAGAACAAATAATTTGCAGAATAGTCTTTAAGAAACCCTAATCAGTTCCATAAGAACCTCACACTTGGGGGGGGGACCTTGAACCTTGGAGAACTTTGATATTTCTGACCTTAGTGAAAGTTAAGACCAAATATATCACTCCATTGGAAGAGGATTGGAAATGAAGCTCACATGGGTGTAAAGCCCAGTCTAGGGTAAATGAAGCCCATACTGTGTGGCTGGTTATTTAAAGCGTGAACAAGAGAGACAAATGTGTCTGGATGTAGTGTAAAAGTAAAAACACTGGAACAGGGCTGAAGAGAAGAGAAATGAGGACTTTTAGGAAAATCTCCCAAATTCAAAAGGGAGTCTGAAATTTAGGGAAAATTGAGTGAGAATGAGTTGTGTATGACTCAGCAGTGTCTGCCTGATACATAAAATCTGAACTTTTGTTGTTTTGACAAACCCAATTTGGGTTTGAATTCAAAACCCAAAGTTTGGAGTTTGGCTGGCTTCATTTAACAATTCTCTTTTCCAGTACAGCCTGTTGGGCTCTTCCCAGAAGGAGCTAACAGGTAGCCAGTCCAGTATTTGATGCCCAGGCCTGAATTTTTCTTTTTTCAACTTCATTTTTTTTGCTCTCCCATTTTACTGTCATTTGTGTAAGGAAAATGCTAGAATTTAACGTGGGGGTCTAGGTCATTCTTTTTTTTTTTTTTTTTTTTTTTACTGCTAGCACAAGGAAATGGGTTGTTCAAATGGCCTTTGTCCCTCACACTCATTGTACAGAGGATCTGTAAACTGGGACAGTGTTAGTGATGACTAGCCTATGCAGGCAACTCTGTCGCAGCCTAGAAGCTTTGACTTGCTTGACTTGCACATTCTTATACACTAACGGAGGACTGGAGCTGTTGCTTCTTGATTCTTTTTAAAGCCATGTGATCTTGAACTATTTTCCACTCCTTAGATCAGCCAGCAGTAGTCTTTTGAATTCCATGTCGGAGGGTTAATGTGTGGCAGTGGAATGTGCTGTCATGAGTCAGGGCCACGTTTCTGGTTCTCTCTGTATCCTTGGACAAGTCACTACCTGTCTCCTAGCCTCAGTTTGCCCATGTGAGGAGTGAGGAGGCTTTCCTATTTATGAATGGTGAAGCAAAATAAGCCCTGTATTGTGGGAGTTTGGGGGATACACATTTCTAGAGTTTTCTAGGAAGAGTCCAGCCTGCTAGCTCCCCAAAAGCCTGAGAATGTGATCTCTGGAGACTACTGGCTACGGAGGTGCAGGACAGAGCAGCTCAAAGGAGTGAGAGGTGTAGCAGGGTGTGTTCCACAGCCCAGAACTGGCACAAGCAAATGCTCCTTTTGCATTTTGGATGAAATAAGAGTGAATTCTTGGAACTTTTGCTGATTTAGGATGATTTATGGTTCGTATGGAACTGCTCAGCGTCAGGAAACCTGGTTCTGTCAGTACCTTGTCCATTGCTTCATATGTGTATACATATTCCCTGCTTTGGATGACTGTAGCCTGGAATATCATATATTTTTTCCCCTTGGGGTTTATTAAACATGACCTCTTGGCTTCATTAGGATGTAGAAAGTCGTGTTTATTCTCCCTAAAACCTTGTGGAGGAGACAGTAAGCTACTTTTCCCTTACAGAGTTAATTTTCTTCAGCTGCTAAACCCCATGACACTAATGACGAGAGTCCTCAAATCATAGTAAAATTGGGTGCAAGGAATCAGGAAAGTAGTGTAAGTAACGATTGTGCCAAAAATTATAATGGGCCATGGAATTGCTTCATGTTGAAATTATAAGTAATTTGTAATGCTATTAATACTAGAATAATGGTAGCGCTTCTCATCTTCAGGGTGCCTTGTGAGATTAACCACGTTGGTTACGCTGGTGACGTGTTTAAATAAAACCTGTGCTTTCTGAATGTGTGTTGCAGTCTTAACATTCTTGAAATCTTTGCAGACCAGTTCTCAAGATGGGATAGGAAAGCTGGACTCTAGGTTACCAAGTGAAATCGGCCCGACTCCTCCTGTGTTGAGACTAGTCATCTACTGTTCCTTCCGTTGAGACAGAACTGTTGCCTGTGTTTTTACTAGTCCTGTTGAATGCAATGGATGGTATTTTGAATTCCTGGGTTAAAAACAGAATTGAAAATCTGAAATGCCTTTACAGAGCGGGCAGCTAAAGTTGCTGAGCAGCAGGAGAGAGAGCGAGCAGCACAGCAACAGCAGCCGAGTGCTTCTCCCCGAGCAGGCACCCCTGTGGGGGCTCTCATGGGGGTGGTGCCACCACCAACACCAATGGGGATGCTCAATCAGCAGTTGACACCTGTTGCAGGTAAAAACAGGAGCTAAGACCATTTTTTTCCACTTTTAAGAAATTCCTTCATTTTTTTTTTTCTCCAATGAGGAGTAGGCCACAGTCTCTAGGCTTTTCTCATGGCAGAGTCAAAGTTTAAAGTCGTCCATGTCGTCCTTATATCGCCTCTCCCATATGGGCAATGCCTCCCCTCTGCCCCAGAAATGGGCCCTGGGCCCAACCCTGGGAATTGGTAGGGAGCAGCTCTAGCCTGGCTGTGGGCATGGTCTGGCGATATTCTCCACCCCAGACTGCTCTTGCTGTAGAGCGCTATAGCAGAAAATATAAACAGACCCTGAATTCTGTTCTGGAGGGACTCCCAAGAGAAAACACAAAACTAGCGTTCAGGTGATGCCGATTCTCCCGTCTCATTCCAGTATTCAGTTTGCCTTGTTCTGCTGCAGCCATCCTTAAGAGACTGACCATTTAAAAGGATTTTTGACAATGAATTGTAAATCCTTTCTTGGTCACTAATGTGCATGACTGCTAAGTGGAATACAAAGTCCTTATTCAATTCATTGTGCCCACTCTGTAATGCTTTTCTATTTAATTACATTAAACTGCATTTTCTGTTAGTATCCCAGTCACATATTAAAAAAAAAAAAAGAAAGAAAAGAAAATGATGAATGTGGTTTGCTTGTGTGTGTTGTCTCTGGTTCTGGTGGCCATAGCAAATTTGGCTATTCTTGAATTGAATATCCTTGTCTGACCAGTGAGAATCCTGCAGACCACTTCTCGGGTCCCTCCTTCATGATCTCCCCAAGCTTGGTGAGGTCCATACAAACCACCTGAGTGTTTTCTTAAGCAAGTGGTCTGACCACTTTTTGCAGGGAGTCCAAGACAGTGTTGTTCAAGGCAGGCTCATTGGGATGCTGTTTTTGTTTTTGCTTTTTTTTGTATTTGCTTTTTAAGGAAGAGTAGCATAGGATAACTTTTCCATTGTCGCTCCTACCTTTTGTGATGGCAGGTTCTCAAATGCACTGTCGCTGAACTCAGCAGTTGCACTCGCCAGAGCACATCTGAATCATGGCTTTTCAGTACTTTCAGTGTAACTGACGTTGATCTAACAAATCTCATAATCGCCTGCTCTATTCCATGGCCCATTTTGGTTAACGGGGTTCCAGAGGGTTTTAGAAATCAGGCCTTGAACGTGGGGACTTTGAAAGTTAGAATTCCCTCGTTGACATCCTGTTTTGTTCTGATATGTGATATTGTAGCACTGTGCCCTTGACTAAAAAAGCCTGGGGACACATTAACAAAATGAATTCAAACAGCTAAAAGCATTAAAACACAGCAGCTGCAGCATTTTAGCTTCCTGTTGGGGAATAACATCATAGCACTCTGATGGGTGAGGGGGGTGGGATCCCTTCTAGAAAGACCCTGCTCCATTATTAAGCATGTGCTGCCCAGATTCCGGGCCACGGGAGTGAAGGGCAAGCAAATATTCTCTATAGGTACCAGTCTTTGGTCCACAGCGGGAACTTTGCAGCTGAGAGGGTAAATTTTCACGGGTTTACCAATTACTTAGGGCCTAAGTCTTAGCCTTGTTGCTGTCTGAGACCAGCTTTGCTTACAAGCATTAAAGCTCATTTGAACACATGTGACTGGGATAATAAGTGCCAAAGTACAGTTTAATGAAGACAAGTGTCATGTCTTTCAGTTCTTAATAATTTCTTCAACCACAGCCTGTGACGGCTGCGTTCAGATGGGCTTTTGTAATTGAAAGCAAAGCCTCCTAACATTCTTCAGCTCCCACCTACTTATCCCTAAAAGCTGTATCTGGTGGTGTGGTTAAAAGGCAGTTTGATAGCTCCGGATCTCCTATGTTTAAGATGATGGTGTCTGCTCAGATGTAGTTTTTACTCTCTGAACTCTCATTTTTTAAAAATGAAACTCATCATCCTGTTTCATGTATAGAGGTATTGTTTAAAATTTGTTTTATTGGTTTGCGTAATTGTAAGTTTTTCAGTCAGCTTAGGTATGACTAATGAAGCAGGCTGAATCAATCTCAGAATTTTCTGTAATTTTATAGCTTCAAAAGACTAAATAATCTTTTAAAAACAAATACCTTTCAAATAATCCTTGAGGGAAAGTCAAAGAGTAAAATCCTTAGAATCTGGAGTTTTCCACTGTTTCCCAAGGTCCCTCTACAAAGAGTATTTTATACAAATGAGTTTTGGCACGAGTCCCTCAAGCCTCCCTTTGTGCAAGAAGCTGTGACCAAAGGTGATTGCATTTTGGGGGGAGCTTTATGTTCTTTTTATTGCGATCATTTCAAATCCCAAAAGTTGTTTTTCTTGCTTAAAAAAAATGTCGTGTGGCTTTAAAGATCTTTTGATAGGTGAGTTTTTGACATTTTGAAATTATTTTCTTCCTTTCACTCCTTTTGCCAAAAATACTTGTTTCTTGAAACTCTTCCCTAGCCAGCAGAATATATTTTGTGTTGTGAAGATGCACTGTGAAAATAAAGGAATAAAAGCCTCTGTTCACAGAAATTCTGTACTTCATTTAAAATGTTCCCTGTTAACTGAAGGTTTATGTGAGGGCATTTGTGAACTTGGAGACAGAAATGACAATTGCATTTTCTCATGCCAGCAGAGCCTGATTCTCCAGCCATTCCTTCTGAGGTCTGTGTGCCCAAGTATCAAGTGACCTGGGCTTAGTTTGGTTTGGGAGGGTGTACGTTTTATCTTTATTTTACATGTTTTGAAATATAAAGATGAAACATCATCCATTATGATGGCTCTTCTCTATTCCCCTGCTCAAGCCCAGTCATGATCCATTTTTGCCAGTAGTGGTGGGGCGAGAAGGGAGGAGGAAGCCTTGAGAAACTCTTGCCACTGCCCTGCCCCCAGCTGGAGAACCATGCTTTGTGATCAGGGCTGTGCGCCTCATTTCCCTCCATTCCAGTTTCCCCTCATGTGTACCCATGATAGGCATATGAGTGTGGGCAGAGTGGAGTGATGGGGTTTCTCTTGTTCAATTAGAACTGCAGTCGCAGAACTGGTCACTCTGTTTGAACAGCTTGCAATAATCATGACCTTGGGAAGGCTGTTACTGGAACTCCTCTTTATTATTATTTAACTAAAAACATGCAGCATATTTATCCCAGGGAAAATAACTACAAATAATATACTAAGTACTAATTCATCCACAGATGTTGGATTTCATATTTTGTAACTTTATTTTGTTCATTATTGCAACAAAATAATTGCACTAATTGCCAGTTATATCATGCAGTACTAAGGGCGCTTTATTCATTGGTAGTGCATGTGGGGGGATTTGTCTATTACTTAGCTCATGTTGCATGTTAATGATGCATGTCTGAAATTTGTTGTGTCCTTCAAGGCATGATGGGTGGCTATCCGCCAGGCCTTCCACCTTTGCAGGGCCCAGTTGATGGCCTTGTTAGCATGGGCAGCATGCAGCCACTTCACCCTGGGGGGCCTCCACCCCACCATCTTCCGCCAGGTGTGCCCGGCCTCCCGGGCATCCCACCACCGGGTAAGAACTTCCTCCTCATTCACTCATTAATCTCATCTTCATATCCTCTTTTTTCTTCCCTCAGCCAGTTGTTCCAGGAGGTACCTGCTGCCCACTGTGGCCAGGCCTTTCCTCACTGAGAATCCCAGGGCTGTCAGGAACAGGGCCTGTCCCTCGGGTACTTAACTGCCTAGCCACAGCGCAGGACACATAACCAAAGACCAGCCTCAGCAGGCCACAGGGCAGAAGGCACACTCTCACACCACTCAGACAATTTGACATGGACTAGGAAGCCAGATACAGCCCAGAGGTCATGCCCTCTATCAGTGAAAGAAGTTTACCAAGTTGCTAGTTCTGAGTCACATATAAAAAGAATTTTTAGTCCTGAGTATACTTCTTCCTCTGGTTCAATTCTTATTGAAGAATTAATTGTCTTCTGTATAGAATCCCTGCTTCATCTCCTGCTTTTCAGACAGCCCTTCTAAAGGGATTATGGAGTCACTGATGATGACAAAGAAATCCTTCAGTCAGTCATTCTAGGAACAAATAGAAGGAAGGGAACAAATTTGCAACGAACACATTTTCTGTATTTGAGTCCTCTTAGAAGCATGACATAACATTTTAAAGAGCAGCATAGGCCCACCCTACTGACTTAAGAACACTGATTTATCTGTCAACAGAAGTTCAGAATTTATTTCCTGTGGAAACTCGTAAATGGAGTTCAGGAAGAGCTACAGATTTACTTTTTAATTAGTAAGTTGAAATACTATTGTGAAAGAAAAATCACAGGGTACCATGTTAATTGGCATCATATGCAAAAGATCTGGGCTTTAGCTATAATCTAGTTGGAGGGAATGTGACCAGAAGATAACTTACAATAATATTTGGTCCATTATCCAGAATACCAGCTAATGGCCTGGCCCAGATGACAAAATGTAGAAATGTTAGGTTTGCTTATTATACCAGTATTGGGTTATATGGAGTTCCAGACAGTGTTTCAGAGGTATACTCAGCAATGTGCAGGATGAATGAACCAGGTGGCTTGGCATAGCGCTTCCAGCTACACTCCTGTGAGTGTTGCTTAGAGAATGGCTATAACTCCATGTAAAAATGTTTGATCCAGATGTACCTGGAGGAAGAAATGTTTCTGGAAGTGGGTGCTTCATTATAGAAACAGTGGCCTGTGAGTTGCTCTTGCAACAAAAGTCAGTCATAAAATGGGTATGCCCGTGTGGCAAGTAGAATTGGCCTTAATTCCATGCCCTCTCACCTTGACATAGGGTATCTGACTGATTCAGACCAGGTTGGAGTTGACTTCTAGGTGCATGTGGTACTCACTGAGAGCCACATTTAAGGCCAGTACTCTCTAAGTAGCAGATACCTTTTGGTGGGTTTTGGGCTCAGCTATGTCCCTTTCCTCTTCTCCAGGTTCTAAATTGCATTTGAAGGAGACACACAGTTGATTTTAGTTGAGACAGGGAAAAACCCCTCTTAGTGTGCACACATGCACATGTTTGCTTAGGCTTTGAGGATAAGACTCAGAGAACTCTGGTGACTCAGCCTGCATTCTCACTGACTGCCCCCTTGCATGGTATTTGTAAACAGGAAGAGGGGAAGCAGGCGTGCACGTACGTACATACATACATACATACATACATACATACATACATACCTGCTCAGGCTTTGAGGAGAGGAGGACTTGGGGATCTCCTCTGGTGACTCAGCCCACATTGTCACTGGCTACCCTCTTGGATGACATTTGTAGACAGGAAACAAAATTGCTGAGTTGTTTGTGCCCTGCAGATTTGAGAAAGGCAGCTCAGGGAGGCCCCCTGTGTTGTGGGATCTGAGATGGGTGAGTGTCCTGGAGAGGGAGGGTGCACAGGGGTTAATAATATGTTGCTGGAACAGCGGCTTACCCACTGCAACCTCTTAAACCAGTCACAAATAATCATGAGGATCCTGCTATGGTGATCCAAGTAAACTTCTGGGTACTTAGAATATAAAAATCCCTGCTTTGTAGACAGAAAGCTTCTACTTTCTCTCTAACAAATATCTAATAATTCCCAGAAGTAGCCTTGAGCAATTCTGCATCTTAGAATAGTGAACGGGGTTCTGCCTGGGCCAAAATAGCAACATTTTGAATCCAGAGAAACTAGTATATGAAAGGAGCTCCTTTTGATCCTTCTTTGCAGCCAGCTGAACTTGTTTAAACAGCAGCTCACCAGGGTTTTGGCTGAAGTTTGTTAGTTTTTAATGAACCAGGACCCTTGCTTATTTCAGCATTTGTTCAGTGAGTGGACGGTCCTGAGATTGAAATAGCCCCAGACACAAAATTTAGGACTTATCACCATTATCACCTAGTACTTGTGGGATAGAAATTGTGAAAAATCAGCAAAGAAAGTTTACAAAATTATTAGCAGACACAGATTACAAATATAGTAGGACCATGCAGTCTCTTTCCCTTTGTCATTTTTGCATTTGAAGTGATAGCAGTGAAGCTGATTTGCTTCCACATGACCCTTTTCACCAGATGGAAGTGTCCTGTCTGCCAGCATTAGTGACTCCAGTTAGAAGCAGAGGTGCTGGGTACCTGTGAGAGGGCAGCAGGGATGCGCCTGTAGCCTCCAAGAACTCATTGAACTGTGCCCTTGCACAGCCTCTTCCTTTGTGTCCCTGCTGTCCTCGCACACTGCTGCTGCAGAGCCGACCACAGTACCATTATTGCCAGAATGAAACCTGGGCTTCAGCTGCAGGAAAATGTATTGTCAGAAGAAAAATACCTTGGAAATAATAGTTGTGTTCCAACTACAGCGACCTAGGGGAATGCTAGAATTTACACCAGGTTCAAAGCATTTCTGAGCCATGAATAACTAATGCCTATCTGACAGGTTATGCTACCATTATACTTAAAATACCTAAAAAACAACAGAATGTGAATTTACCCATTGGCTGCATCCTGTTTTGGGTGCGTAGGGTTTCTATCCACAAAACTCAAGGGCAGAGATCCATAGGTTTGCATTATAAGTGGCATTTCTTAGCAGTAGTTTTTCAGTAGTCCTCTCAACCCAGAGCCTCTAACTGTACCGTTGCATTCTGAATTATAGGTGTGATGAACCAAGGAGTGACCCCTATGGTAGGGACTCCAGCACCAGGTGGAAGTCCATATGGACAGCAGGTGAGCCTCTCAGTTGGATTTTCTAGGATACAACAGAATTTAAGTTATCCTCTTTCTCAGAGCATGTGCCAAGAGTATTTTTTTCCCCTCACCATGTGCTCTGCACTCTTTTAGGTAGGAGTTTTGGGGCCTCCAGGGCAGCAGGCACCACCTCCGTATCCTGGCCCACATCCAGCCGGCCCCCCTGTCATTCAGCAGCCAACAACGCCCATGTTTGTAGCTCCCCCACCGAAGACACAACGGCTTCTCCACTCAGAAGCCTACCTGAAATACATTGAAGGACTCAGTGCTGAGTCGAACAGCATTAGCAAGTGGGACCAAACCCTGGCAGGTAAGGAGAGTCCTTCTCAACAAACCTTTGTGAAATCTCACTGCTGTTGGCATATTAGCATATTACATTGTGGGATGCATAGCCGCTTTTATTATAGAAGGAAAATAAATTCTGTATTTAATAGACGGATTTGGAGCTTTCTTGTATATTGACATCACACACTGAAAATGGTGCGGTTTTTGCTGAATTTCTAAGCTTGGTTTTGTGATAAACATCACTGCTATCTTTTTAAGTATATTCTGTATTTTTTCACATTTTTTTAGGCATTTGGGCATTAGTATAGATTCATTTGGGTAAATCAAAAATTCCTTCAGTTCAGGGACACCTGGGTGGCTCAGTTAAATGTCTGCCTTAAGCCCAGCTCATGATCTTGGGGTCCTGGAATCAAGCCAGGTTGGGATCCCTGCTTAGGAGGCTCCCTCTCCCTCCGCCGCTCCACCCCACTTGTGCACGTGCATGTGCGTTCTCTCTATCTCTATCTCTCTCTCAAATCTTTTTTAAAAAGTCTTCCAGTTCAACTTTTAGATTTTTTTTTTTTTTTTTTTTTTTTTTTTTTTGAGAGAGACAGTGATAGTGACAAGTGGAGAGGAGGGGAAGAAGCAGGCTCCCCACTGAGCAGGGAGCCTGACATGGGGCCCGATCCAACGACCCCAGGATCATGACCTGAGTTGAAGACAGACCATTAACCAACTGAGCCACCCAGGTGCTTGATAGTTTAACTTTTAAAAAAGAAAAAAATACTGGAAAACATATTTCACTTAACCTATTGAGTTACTTATTTAGCTCCCGGACTTAATGTATTTTTAGTACATACTAAAATAACTTGCCTAGGGCGCTGGGTGGCTCAGTCAATTAAGTGTCTGACTCTTGATTGCAGCTCAGGTCATGATCTCAGAGTCCTGAGATCGAACCCTGCATCAGGCTTCACACTGAGCATGGAACCCACTTAAGATTCTCCCTCTCCTCTTCGCTCCCCATAAAATAAAAATAAAATAACTTGCTGGTTTTTAGAAAGGTACAAGTTCCTATTCAACATTCTTCATTTCTTCTTCTTTTTTTTTTAAGTTAGTTAGTTAGTTAGTTAATGCCTGAGTGCAGAGCTTGATGCGGGGGCTTGATCTCACAACCCTGAGATCATAATCTGAGCTAAATAAAATCAAGAGTTGGTTATTTAACTAACGGAGCCATCCAGGTGCTTCTCATTCTTCATTTCTAAACCAAATTTGATAGTTTGATTTCTTTCAGAATAGTAGGTAGTTTTCCCTTTCCTCACATTTACCTTTTTAGGAATTTTTGTTAACACTGAAGAAATTATTACATTTTTTTAAAGATTTATTTATTTATTTATTTTAGAGAGATAATGTGCAACGGGGAGGGGCAGAGGGAGAAGGAGAGAAAGTCTGAAGCAGGCTCCACACTGAGTGAGAAATGGAGCTTGATCCCACAATCCTGAGATCACAACCTGAGTTGAAACCAAGAGTCAGACACCTAACCGACTGTGCCACCCAGGCATCCCTGAAGAAAAATTATTCATTATCAGGGCTGCCTACAGAGCACAGTATTGGTGATCAGATCTTTTAAGTGTTTGTGCAGCTCTTGTATTTCCCATTCATAGAATTGTGTTCTACTGTGCAGCTCTTTTGTGAAGTCATTATTATCAATTAGAAAACTTTGAAAATACAAAGCATAAAACAAGACATTCTTAGCTAGGTAGCCTCATACCTAAGTGCATTTAAAAAAAAAAAAAAAAAAAAAACAAGATGCTGGGCAGCCCTGGTGGCTCAGCGGTTTAGCACCCAGGGTGTGATCCTAGAGACCCGGGATCAAATCCCACATTGGGCTCCTTGCGTGGAGCCTGCTTCTCCCTCTGCCTGTGTCTCTGCCTCTCTCTCTCTCTCTCTCTCTCTCTCTCTCTCTCTCTATCTCTCTCTCTGTGTGTCTCTCATGAATAAATAAATAAAATCTTAAAAAAAAAAAACCAAGGTGCCTAATAAAATGATAGAAGACATTTGCTTGGAAATACTCTGCAGAGTTAAAATTCATAATATTTAATAAATAATAAGTGTTACATGCTTTAATAAATAGACCTTAGGACTGAGGGGAAAACTATTACCTTAAAATTCCTACTTCTCTTTCTTTGCGTGCATTTGAATTTTCAGCTCGAAGACGCGATGTCCATTTGTCAAAAGAACAGGAGAGCCGCCTCCCCTCTCACTGGCTGAAAAGTAAAGGGGCCCATACCACCATGGCAGATGCTCTCTGGCGCCTTCGGGATTTGATGCTCCGTGACACCCTCAACATTCGCCAAGCATACAATCTAGAAAACCTTTAATCACATCAATTACGTTTCTTTTATAGAAGCATAAAGAGTTTTGTGGAACAGTAGCCATTTTAGTTACTGGGGGTGGGTGGGGAGGAACAAAGGATGATAATTTTTATTGCATTTTACTGTACATCACAAGGCCATTTTTATATAAGGACACTTTTAATAAGCTATTTCAATTTGTTTTTGTTATATTAAGTTGACTTTATCAAATACACAGAGATTTTTTTGCATATGTTTCCTTCGTTTAAAACCAGTTTCATAATTGGTTGTATATGTAGACTTGGAGTTTTATCTTTTTACTTGTTGCCATGGAACTGAAACCATCAAAGGTTTTGTCTTGGCTTGGGGTTTTTGGTTTTGGTTTTGGGTTTTGTTTTTTATAAAAGAACAAACAAAATGAAAAAAAAATATATACACATGCACGAGAGTTTACAGATTAGTTTAAGTTGACGATGAAATGTGAAGTTGGTCCTAGTTTACATCTTACAGAAGGGAGTGCACTGGTGTCTGCTTCATGTGCCTGAGAATCTGAATCCACTTCAGCAAAAGCTGTTTCTTACAGGTGAAGTGAAAGGTGGTTATTTTAGGTTATAGATGTTTGACAGACATGGCACATTTGCTCTAGTAACTCAGAGACTTGCTCCAGAAATCTGAAGTCAGTGCTGTGCATCCTTCTGCAGCTGGTGCATCTCGCGGACACCTGAAGGGGAGAGCACTGTTTCTTGTGCTGTTGTTAGTTATCTGTGGTGTCAGCTATTTTTGCAGAACATGTGCACAACCCTGAATTATACTTAGTCTTGGCAGGTAAGTTTAAGGGTACTTTTGATCTATTTATATTGAATTCACAATTTATGCCTATACTTGTTAGATGATTTAAAATTTTAAATCTCTTACATTGAGAAATACTGAAGTTCACCTTGAAGAAAGCATTGAGGTGTGCATGGAAGTGATTTATTTTTTAAACCTAACACCTAACCTGGCATAGGGAAGGGAGTGCATAACCAGATATAAGCTGTGTCAGAAGCATATTGTAAAAGGTAGATTGTCTCCATATGCAAACGTGTTTTCGTATCTTTATTTCCTCACCAGATGTGGCATTTTTTTTCTTCTAAGTTTCAGCGTTGTAATTCTCAACCAGAAATTTAAGGCTTTCTAAAATGAATTTTGAATTTAACTTGTGCTTTTGAATTTCAGGAGAAAGGAATTATAATTTAAGAAAATACTCACTTTAAAAGACCAGTATGGATCCCAGATACTTGGGGTTGACCCTGTCTCTCTTATTTGATCCCATAAGCATCTGGAGGCAGTGTATGATACATAGACAGGTAGAAAAGCATCACACCTGGATTCCACTTGAGGTTTTTGAAACCTGTTTTTTTCTAACAAGATGGTTGCCATTTTGGTGGAGCTTCCCTTGCTGTTTGTAAATTGAGTGACTCTCCCAGGATACTTTTTTCCTTTAATCTGGTATGAATCAATACCTGGATATTTGATTGCCATTCTTAATCATGGGGGCAAAAGCTTGTAGAATTGAAGAAAGTCTCTTGTATCTAAATACTTTAAATACAGGAGGCCCTTGTAACTTAATTGCCTATAGTCAACCACTGGATCTCAGTTTGCATCAAGTATTTTAAATAATTCTGAATTTTAAAAAATGTATTACAGTAGTATGTCAGTACCTTATTGTTAAACTGAATCAGATAAAGAAATCTTCAGTTCCTAGTTATTTGGGCCATTGAATCATCATGGACTGTATAATACAATCAGATTGTTTTTATTTCTAGACATTCTTGAATTACACCAAAGAATCTGAAATCTAATTTTGGTTAAGTTATTTATTTATTTCATGCACCCATTTTATTTCCCTTTTTAAGGTCTGGATGAGACTTCTTTGGGAAGCCTTTAAAAACTCTTCACTGTGGGCTAGGTGGGGCATTAGAAGCCAGGGCACTCCTCCTCCAGGCTCCTTCCCATTGTCTAGAGGTGCTGTAGAAACCATAGATCCAGCCAGGGGCTTCCCTCAGGCAGTGCAGAGCCGGGCCAGAGGGCCAGTAGGCAGGCCCTAATTAAGTTTAAAAAAAAAAAAAATCTATGTATTTATTTTAGAATCATGTCTTTCTGTATATTAACTTGGGGAATATCAGTTAATATTTAGGATATAAGATTTGAGGTCAGCCATCTTCCAAAAAAGATAAGCCAAAAAAAAAATTTTTTTAAAGTCCTGACTTAAGAAAGTACAAGTGAACTATATACATCTTTTTTTTTTTTCCATGTATTTTAGGAACTAGTGATATGGCTTAGAAAGTATAATGGCCTAAATGTTTTCAAAATAGAAGTTCATGTGGCAAAGAATTTTGTTTATTTGGGGAAAACCTCTAGGTTTAAAATAGTATGTCAGCCAACTGATTTGAAAGGCCTTGAACTGCTTGTTTTTGAACCCACCCTTGTCCTCCTATGAGGAAGAACTGAAAGGGGATGCTTCTTTGTGTGAAATCTCAAACTGGTGTTGTTGACTTCTGAGCTTGAACATTTTCAGACCTAAAACTTGGTTTATTCTAATTTCTGTATCAAAGGAGGTTTAAGTGGTAACCAGTCTTATAACATGTATGTATCATATGTTTGTTCATTTAAAGCTTTTTAATCCAAATAAAAATGGAGTTTGCAAAGTGATTTGGATTAACCAGGTTTGGTTGTTCTGTTAAAGTTTATGTCAGATGTTAGTTTCAAGCAGGTTTCAATGCTTGCATGCCTTGATTCCATGCTGACAGGAATACAGCTGCCAGTTTAAGGGAACAAAACTCCTCAGATGGAGGCAAAAGTCAGTGACCAGATCCTGGTTCAGGTCTCAGGCTGCATTAACACAGGCTGAATGTAGTCACACTGCAGTTTGACATGCCCCACGCCAAGCCTCTTGGGCAGGCGGGCAGGGAATTCCTAACATATCATCATGGGCAGAAATACAGGTTAAAGTTAAAATTGTAGAGTTACCGATGGTTAAGGTAAGGAAAGCATGCCTTGTATCATAAAACAGTGCAAGCCATTTCAAACAGTCAGCTTTCTGTGGCCAGAAGCGACCAGTAGCCTGGGTATGTCTTTAACATGCTTCTAAGCTCTTAAAACATGACCACACGTTTGATAGAAGTGTTGGTAAAATCAACCGTTTTCCTCTAATATCACTTTGCAAATCCCTGTGGCTCTGTTCCCCTACGTGTTTAGGGCTGTACTGCCATCTGTGCTCATGAGCGTATTTTGAATAATCATTGATGAATAGTTAAACATTCTCACTGAACATTGTGAGCAAATACTGCTTAGTGTTACTGTTCCTTTTTAGTTTGGAAGTGTGCTAGATCAGCTGAGTGAAACTTCAAAACTGAACAAATTAAGACCACACCCAGAATAGATGTCACATTTATGTGTAACCTACAAGATCTCAATGCCACAAGAAATTCCAAATTTAATGCACATGTGTAAAGACTAAGAACTGAGACTACTGCTTTTCTAGGAGAGGAATTGCTTTGGAAAATGCCATGATCCAAATGTTTTGGTTTTTTTTAAAGAAAGGTAACTTAGTGTGAAAAATTCAGACTTACAAAAAGAGAGGAAGAGAGATTAATGTGTTAGAGTATCTGAGATTTAGGCAAGACCCCCAGAATTAGGACCATTAGATCAAGATAGCCCTCTTTTATGGAGTATTTACTACGTACCTAAGTTAACTTTCCCCATTAGTTCAGATGAAAAAGTGAAGCTCCAAAGCCCACATTCTTTACCACATTCTCAACACCACAGTGGAAATAGATTTCAAGCAATAAATGCTAATTCAATTTTTGTCATTCTAGAAGTACACTTTTTAAAATACGGGTTATTAAAGGTTTTGCCTTGTAGTTCACACTAGGGGGCACTAAGGTTTTATAATCAGCATGTAAGAGCATTGTTCTTTGCATTAAGTTACCTTCATAGTTCCCGTGTCTAAGTCGAGTCATATTCTGTAGTAGGAGGGTTAAAATTTGTTTGGTGGCAAAGTTAAAAAGCTTTCACCTCCATTAAAAAGATCAATTCTTGCTCTCTAGCATCCAAACTAATATGATGAAAGTATCTTCAGTTTAATGCAGTAATTACTTTGCCAAACTCCTTGCCTTGAAGTGAGTCGTCACCTTCAAAGTTTTGTTGTCCTTCAGTAAATCAGCCCTCTAATATGTATTTTAAAAAGAAGGAAAAGTCTAAGAAAGGTTAACATGAATTTGTAGCTTGTGATCTCTCTGGGGTACAGGCAGGGAGGTGGCCAGGGAAGGAACCCACAGAAGACACAGAAGTTAGCTGATGTTTTATTAGCATTTACAACTTTACCATGTTCTCTATATATATCAATACTAAACTTCTAAAACTGGGGTGAGGGAAACATGGAATAAGGCCATATAACTTCCTACAATTCCTTATGCTGCAGTCGAACCACTAAAACGCCTATGAGTTTAGGTTCACCAGGAACTCTCTAGGCCACACAAGTGCACAGAACTTCCTTCCTCTCCCTGGTGCTGTGATCATCACTGATGTCCACACTCAAGCCATCTCTGAGCTGGGGTGGGTAGTGCTTTAAGGAGATCTGAGTAGTCAGTGGCTCGCTATTTATACTGAATGGTTTTAACATAAACAGACTAATTTAAATTAGAAAAAAAAACCTAGAAAAACTTGGGAAGATATGTTTGTGGCAGAGATCATTAACTTGAGAATACCCTGTGGCCTTAAGCATCTGCCTCTATATATTCATGAGCAATTGTTAGAAACCATTTTGAAACTTAGCCTTCTTTAAAATATAGATTATGTCCCTTCTTTGAATAGGTGTTGGATGTAGTTACCAAGCATGGATTAAAAGAAAAATGGATAAAGCCTTTGCTTTTTTTCTATCAGCTGACCCAAATTTATTACAGGTTAGATTATAAAATCTGTCCCCAGTAGACTGAACCTCTGACTGCTATAGCTGAAGTCTGGTGGTTTTATGCTTGCTTTAGAGTGTGAAGGTTCACTTTCTTAGGGAAGAAGCAATGTCTTTATCCTTAGCAGCTGGATGAAAGCACATCTTCATCACAGACGGGTGTGAAGCCTGTCCCCTCTGGGGTCCTCATGGATGTCCAGCCCTTGTATGTTAGTGGGGAACAAGCAAAGGAAACAGCTATTTCTGTTCACAAGAGCATTTGACCTGAGTAATGGGTGGTCAGGATTTCCTACCACCCTAGCAAAATGTTGACAGATTGGTAGCTGGAAGAAATGTAATCTGCATAATTATCCTGGCTTAAATAATCTTATAATAGAGACCTGACTTTTATGTCCATGATTAAATTTGAATTCTGCAAAAAAGTAAATAAGGTTATCAATTTGTTGTGTAAAACAAAAAACTTCACAGACAATTCAGACTACTAAAATGCATCCTGATTGATCTTGAATTATTTAAGAAATATTTCATGGAATAGATTCAATGGGCAAGTGTGTTTCAGGAGGAAATCATTTTTCTCTAAGTGCTGTCCATCAGTGACTGGGGAACTACTGAAGCAGACAGGGAAACTATAAAAATTCTTTGTGAAGGCAGTTCTGAGTAAGAACAAGAAATCTGAAAAGGACATTTTCAAAGGAGTTGAAACCAGTAGTGAAATTTCATATTCACTTTATTGACGGCTGAAGTTCAGTCTCTGATGCATTTTCCAGCCTTCTCTGATACTGTCGTTCTGAGGCTTTTCTACGGTAGACATCATCTGTGTCAAATAAAAATTTTACTTAGATTTTTCAGAAACAGGAATTAAGGTACTCAGATCTAAGTTAACCAAGTCTAGGTCTGTCAGCTGTTTCTGAATTTCATTGTTTAATTCAACACTAAAATAAACTTCATTTAAAACAAATTTGAGTTAAATGAGGACTATGTTAATGCAGTTCTACACTTTAGTAGCATAGTAAGAGTCTGTGTCTTCAAAGATAGGATCATGTCCTAGCACACTTCTTAGCAATGTTTTAAGACTTCCCTCACTTCCTTCCCCCTGCCCCCCCCCCCCAAATGTCTGTTTTTCTCTGAAATCATCCTGAATTGAAGTGCCTCAAAGGCACTTTTTGCTCTGCAGCTCTCTGCTGTTCCCTCTCCCACACTCAGGAACTCAGAGGTGAGGTCAGTTCCCTTGTCAGCCGCAGCTTTTCCACACTGCTAATTCTCCACCCTCTTCCTTCAGGGCTAATGCCATTTGCCACAGTCTTCTCTGCATGGGCACCTGCTCTCTACTCCCCTTCAGTCACTGAAAACTCAGATATCTAGCCCAGGCTCCTTGACCAGTCCTGTGCCGCCTTCCCAGGTGACACCACCTGCCATGGGGAGGAAGTGCTAGCGCCCTTCACCTCCTTGACTTCTCCAGTCAACTTCTGTCATCTACTTGCAGTGTTCTCTGAAGTAATAAATTCATCCTGCTGTGACCATAACTTCTGCTACCTTTCTAACAATTCTTTGGATCTCCTTTAACTTCTTCCCCAGGCACTTGGCCCCTGAATCCCCCTCAGCCCCGTCTTGTTCTCTCTCCCAACTCAAACCAGCTGCAATTGCCTCTTATCAATATCAACTTCTTGACACACCTTCAAAACCCCCAACTACAGATTAATCCAGCTGCCCTCCTTCTTCATCCCTCTGCTTACTGTGCACTGTGGGGCCACTTGATGCATTTAACTGGGCCCAATGTGATGATGCCTGGCAATCCTTTTTCCTCAGACATGACCCTGACCCTTCTTCACCCACCCTCAGGATGGCCATGAACTCTTTCTTCACACAAATCAGTCATCAGTTAAGAACTCTCCCAGCTAACTTCCAAGGGCTACTCCTATGGCCTTGCTCAGATCCTAACCTCTCCTACCTTCTCAAGAGCCAGGCATCTGCAGCCTCTCTCCACTTCCCTTTCCTGACCAGCATCTTTGTATCTTCAAGACTCCCCTAGTGCAGAGCCAAGAGCTGACCTCCCATTTGCATAGTCAGCCTGCCTGAACTTCTCCTGTCTTCTGTGATAAGTCCTCCTGGTTTCTCCCAACTCTCTGGCCACTCCCAGTCACCCTTAAAATCTTGGGATTGGGCTCTGATTTTCATCACAATCTGCTTTCAAATGACCCACAAACCCAGATTTGTGGCCCAGATCTGCCTCCTGAGCTTGAGATCTGTGTATCTCCACCTTACTATATCCAAAAAGGAGTTTGGACTGTCCTGCCAGTGTTGGCCTTCCATCCCCCCAGCTGCACCAACTGTCCTACCAGAAGCCTACGCTCCTCATCCCTGAGTCCAATCACCAGGCCCTATAAGTACCACCTCCCAGGTGTCCACTCAATCACCAGGCCCTATAAGTACCACCTCCCAGGTGTCTCTCAACTCCACTCACTTCTTGGCATCCCATCTGTCCCTACCAACCAGGCTACAATCTCAGACCTGAATAACCACACAGCCTAAGTATTCTTGCCTCCTCTCCACAAGCCATTCTCCTATATTAATTCACCACAGTTTAAAACCCTTTGATCCTTTGGGTACATCCTTGGTTTTCCAGTCCTCTGTGGCCCTCCCCAGGCACATTTCCAACCACTTCTTCATCCCTTACTATGCTTTCAGCCCCTCACAGTAAACATTCATACTGTGGCCCCATGCCTGCTTTCATCACGAGCATGAGACACTTCCAACTTCATTAATGTTCCCCTCATCTGACTGACCTCAGTGGATCTTCAGGTCCCACCTGACATGGTAACTTCTGGAAGCCTTCCCTGCACCATCTGATCCAACTGAGATTACCCCCACTAGAGTCTACCATTGCTCCACACACACACACTTCCCCTCACAGCACAGATCACAGTTAACAGTAACTGTCTTTTTTTTTTTAAGATTTTATTTATTCATGAGAGAGACAGAGAGAGAGGGAGAGGCAGGCTCCATGTAGGGAGCCGGATGCATGACTCTATCCCGGGACTCCAGGATCATGTTCTCAGCCAAAGGCAGGCGCTCAACCACTGAGCCAACCAGGGGTCCCTAAGATTTTATTTTTAAGTAATCTCTACATGCAACATGGGGGTGAAACCTACAACCCTGTGATCAAGAGTTGCATGCTCCAGTACAGTGACTGAGCCTGCCAGGTGCCCAGCCAGCTTATTTTAAAAACATTGTTACGGGGATCCCTGGGCGGCGCAGCGGTTTAGCACCTGCCTTTGGCCCAGGGCACGATCCTGGAGACCCGGGATCAAATCCCACGTCGGGCTCCCGGTGCATGGAGCCTGCTTCTCCCTCTGCCTAGGTCTCTACCTCTCTCTCTCTATCTCTGTGTGACTATCATAAATAAATAAAAATTAAAAAAAAAAAAACATTGTTACATTAGTGCTTTCCCAAGATATTCAGTCCTTTTGTTCACCCATCAGGACTTAATGAGCAACCATCAGAGTATATAATGAACAAGGCAGAGACCTATCATAAGGACAGTAACTGTTGGGGATCTCATGAATAAAAATCTTTAATAAATAAAGTATTTAAAACAAAAATTTTTTTAAGAATGGTTGGCAATTCACAAGTGGTATTTGTTTTTAGATAGGATAAAGCATAAAGGACCTAGGGGGTGGGAAAGTCTTTCCAGAAGGGGAACTAGCCTGTCCAGGGCTAGTGCTCTGCAAAGCAGTGCCAGGCATTCTTTCCACGGTGCTGGGCCCTCGTGCCATCGATTCTGCCCGGCAAAGACAGGGGTAATTAGGCCGGGCAGGCCGGCTCCCTCCAGGGTTTGGACTGAAGACTCCGGAGAGGCTGGCCAATTACCAGGAGTTGTCGTGAGTCTTCAGGATCCCACTCCTTTTTAGGTGCTGTGAGCAAGTCTGTTCCTTAGGACCAATGTCACCGGCCCGCAAGGACGAAGGGCAGGCTCGAGAGCGTCCTGCGTGGAGCACGTACCCCCCTCCCCAAAGCGCAGAGAAGGTCTCAGCGTGGACGCCAGCATGCCTTTCTCGCCCCGCTTGCGAGACACACGGGCCGCGGACGGAACCGTCCTTCCCCTTCGGACCACAGTAAGGGCGGTCTGCAACCTTAGAACGTCCCCCAGGAAAACGGGTCCCTAGCCGCCTCCTGCCTTCCTGAAATGAGACAGACGCTGCTGCACCCCCACTTACAGAAGGTTTCCTGGCCCACGCGCAGTTTAATCATGATCCACTCCATCGTTCCTCCCAGGACAAAAAAGAAGGGCAGGAACCTGTAGACGCCGAGCCGCTGCTTGCCGGGCACCCGCTGCAGGACCCGCCTCACCTGGGCCCTGGAAAACATGCCAGACCCGGGGCGTGGCGAGGAAGGGGCACAGCGGGTCCGGGAGCGGGAGCGGAGGGGGCTGCCGGCCACAGCCGAGTCCCGCGACCTGGTTGCGGCGCTGACCCGACCCCGGGCCCCCGCCAGGCAGGCGCGCAGCAGAAGCGGCCCAGCGCCGGGACCCGACCCCGAGCCTGGGCGGCTCCACCAATCAGAGTGCCGCGGGGCGCACGGACCTGCCAATCTGAAGGCGGCGGAGGCGCGTGCTCCGTAAGGCGGGACACGGCCGCAGAGCTGGCGCAGGCGCCTGGGCTCTGGAGGCGGGGCGGCCCGAGGGGGCGGGGCCTCCCACGTGGCGTCGGCCCGGCCCCACCCCGGCTCCCCCCTGCAAGCTCGCGCTCAGAGTTGGCGGCGGCACCCCCTACTCTGCTACCGCCATCTTTCTTAAAGGCCTGATGGAAGTGGTGACCGTCTCTGATGGACGAAACGTGACCCGCACTTTACTCTGAAATGCAGTTATGCAAATGCTTTGCATTTATTTCGGGGCCGTGACGGGTGACTAGACTTCTAAAAATAACAGAATTTGATAGGCATTGCTGAAAGCTGAACTTTATCATTGTCACAACAAAAGTCCAAGCAATCACCCTGTGACAAACAACCCTGATATTAATAAAAGCTATCCTGTATGGGGCACTTACCGTTGTGCAGGGACTTGCAGGTCCTTTTTAATGCATCACCTCCTAATTCACAATAATCACAGAAGAGCGGAGTGGCTCAAGAGCCCAGGCTTTGTCAAACCATTCCCTTGCTCGACAAAAACGGGGGCCTTTCTTTGACGCTGTGAGGACTTAGAGGTAATACAAATAAAGCACAATACGTGGAGCACAGTAACTGATCAATTATCATTAGCTAAGATAGGATGATGATGGTGGTGATAACCAGTTATCGGGTGCCAGCTCTTTACACGTATTCTAGAACCTAGGGACACTCCCCTCTACATCACTCCCTTTTATGGATGGGAAACTGAAAAGTTGAAAGATTGAGCCAAGTGGAAGCAAAGCTCAGACTCCAGAGCCTTCACTCTCTCTGAGTCCCTGTGCTTGTTATAAAGGTTGTCACCTCATTACCTAAGGCTAAAAAAAAAAAAAAAAAAAAAAAAAAAAAAAGCAACCAGGGCCTATCTTTGAGAAAGGAGACAGCTATTACACAATCTAAGAACATCAAATGAAAACTTAAAGTCAACAAAAAAGTTTGGTGATGTAAACACAAAATATACAAGAATAGGCTGAAGAAGAGAGAGCAAGCAAGCCTGGCCCCTGGCAAAGGTCACAGTCTGGCCCTGATCGGCCAGGCCAGAGCTGCTTCATGGATCACCTGCCTTCTGGGGCTCACCCAAACCAGCTTCATGCACAGTGCACACACGCTGGCTTGGAGTTCACCCCAGTTTCTCTTGGTGGCTCTAGGAGCCTGTCACTGAGGGGCACCCATCTCCCACTGTGAGGAGACCTACTTGTGGACAGGTCCCCAAAGCCTTCCTAGGTCAGTTGGGTCTTCCATGAGCCTACCCTTCTCCCTGCATCCTGCCCCAGCACCTTGCCCAGGATCTGACCCGCTGCATAGGTTGTCAGCCAAGGTGCAGTGGATGTTCATATACACACGCTTAAACCGAGAGGAGCACCCCAAAAAAAGTGTCCAGCTAGCCAGCTCCCTACCGGCTGGGCCCACCGGTGCTAAAGTCAGCCACCCCTTAATCCCGGCCTAGTACGCATGTGGACTCAGCAAAGAGATGAGGAGAAGAAACACAGGTAGAGAGTGTTTGCAAGCAGGACTGCAACATTTCGATGGAAAGTCTGGACACACTGCTGGAAGGGGCCAGGGCATCTCAAGGCGGGGCTGAGAGTGGGCTCGGTGCGGCCATTTCCTGAGGTCAGAACCAGGCAGGTGCAGGTAACCCCGGGCCCAACGCCCTGCAGGGCGCCGCCCGGTCCTCCGGCTCCCTCGCTCCCTACGGTCCAGGGAGGGAGCGAGGAGGGGCAGCCTCAGCGGGCGTCAGCGGTGCTGCAGGTCGCTGCGGGGCCCAGGGTCTCACCGGCGAGGGCCGGCAGCGAGCGGCGCGCGGCAAGGGCTCTTGGTCGGCTGGAGTGACTCCGGCCGGCCCCTGCTGTGCGGGGGACAGGACCCCTGGCGCAGGCCCGGCGGGGCGCCGCGGCGGAGCCGAGGGCAGGAGGACCAGGGCGGAGAGGGGGCAGGAGGACCCGGGGGCCGAGGGCGAGGCAGAGGGCCGGGGCCGGGGCCGGGGCCGGGGCCGGGCCGGGGGGGTCCAGGGGCACCCGCCGCGCCCGGCCCTCCCCTCCCCGCGCCCCGGCCGTCCGCAGCCCCAAAGAGGCGGCCGTTCTTAGGCCCCCCAACTCCCGGAGCGGAGCCCAAGGAGCGGCCATCGCCGCCGCGGCCACCGAAGGGGGGCGCAGAGGGCTCCCGGGCCTCGCCGAGACGCGGGAGGGGGCCCGGGGGCCCGCCCGCCCCGCCCCGTCCCGCGACCTCCCGCCCCCCGGGCCGAGGCGCGCGCCCATTGGCCGGCCGGGCTCCGCGCGCCGCGCCCATTGGCCGGCCGCCGTGAGGAGCACGCGGCCACCGTGGCGGGCCGCAGTCGGAGGGCGGCGGACGGGCCGACGGGCGGCGGGCGGCGCGGGCGGCGCGCGGCGGGCATGGCGGGTGCGGGGCTGCGGGCGGCCGCTCGGCGCTGGCTGCCGTGCAGGGGCCCCGGCGGGCCGCGAGCCGCCTCGTCCTCGCCCTCCTGCCCTGGCTGCGGCCCCCCGGGGCCCGGCGCCCACTGCCCGGGCGCCCCGCGCTCCGCGCCCGCCCCGGCGCCCGCCGGCGGCGCCGAACTCAGCGCGCACCTGTGGGCGCGTTACCAGGACATGAGGAGGCTGGTGCACGGTGGGTGAGCCGCGGCGGGACGGGCGCCGGGTGTCTCCGCCGGGCGGACGCGGACCCGCCGTCTCGGGCAGCCCCGGGCGCCGCTGTCGGGGACGCGCGCTGGAGGGGCTCTCCGGGGCCCCGCGGCCCCGCGGCCCGGGCGGCTCCTCGGGGAGGCTTCTGGGGCCGCCCCGACGCCCGGAGGCAGGCGGGCAGACGGGAGGTTTGCTCCGCAGCTCCGTCGGCGGGAGCTCGGGGTGCCCGCAGCGGCCTCCGGAATGCGGAGCCCCCACCGGCCCTCCTGGCGGTCCCGCCTGCCGGGAGGCTGCGGCGGAAATGCCCCCAACCCCTTGTTCTCTTAGGGGCCGTGGTTGGGGCGGGAGCGTCGGGGACAAAGCCAGCCGGCGGCGCTGCCCGACCCAGGCGGAGACCGACTAGACTTTGCAAGCGCCTGTAGGTTGCGACCGAGGTCCGGAGGACTCTCAGCGCAGGAGGGGAAGGTATTGGTTGGAGAAACGAGACCAAGCCGCCCCAGGGCCCTGGAGTCCACAAGGGTGGCTGCATCCGGGGCCAGGACACTTAACCTCCTGTACCCTCCTCCCTAGCACTCTCTCCCGCTGCAGAATGGGCTGTTGAAGCCTGAGGGCCCTCCCCAGAGAGGCCCTGCTGTGCTGGGATGCCCTGATGAGGCCAGAGAGCTGAGGGTGCTCAGCACTTGGCCCGGATCTCCTGCGGCTCTGCCTCTGCAGCAGACAGATACGTTTGGGCTGGACCATAGCTTCACTGACCCGCCAGGTCGTACTCAGCAGGCCTCACTCTCTCAGACCTTCAGTGTCCACAGGGTAGAACACAACCCTGGGGCCACTGTCCAGGATTGTGGTGATGACTCAGAAGGAACCAGGCCAAGAAAGTGCAGGGACCTTCCAGAGGAGCCCCCACAGGTGGTGCTGCTTTCATTGTCTGGTAAGACAAAGTGGCCCTGCCTGGAAGATTCCAGCTTGAGAGCATGGGGCTTCCAGTGTAGCTGTGTTGAGAGCTGAACAGGACTCACCTGAGAAGCTCAAGGCTGAATAGTCAAGACCCTGAGGAATGAAGGTTCTGAAGCCCTTGGGCTTCTATCAGGACACCCCCCCCCCGCGCCCAACCCCCACCACCCTGTCAGTGGAGAGGCCAGGCCTGAGAGGCTGTTTAAGAAGATACCTTTACTCTGGGTCTGGAGAAGCCTGCCTGCCTTGTAGGTATGGGAGAGAACATAGGGAGGTCTGTTGGGTTTTGTCACACCACGCTCACCCATATTTTCAGATCTTCACAGAGACACCCTTGCTTCTCTTGATGTGAAAGGGGCAAGGTCATTTCTAGGGTGCCATGGTGAGCATCGGGATGAGCCAGCCTTGCACCCAAGTCCTGACTCACCTCTCTTGACTGGGCTTTTTGGGAGAGATTCTGGGCACTGAGATATGCCCTGGGCTAATGCCTGTGGGCAAAACTATGCCAGGCTTAGTGCCTCCCTACCAGTGTAGGGACACTGGAGGGCTGGGCTAAGGTGGGGGAGAGTGATTAAGGCAGGTGGAGTGACCTCCATTTGAACCTCAACTCCGTTGCCTACTGCTGGATGGTTTAGAGCAAGTGACTTCACCTCCCTGAGCCCGTTTCTTCCTCTGGATGATGGATGAATAAGTGTGACCACCCTCACAGGATTGGGGTGAGGCTTGAACATGATGAGCCTCTAAGGCACCCAGCAAGTGCACACAGTGGCAGCTGGGAGGATGGCACCCACAGTGAGTCTTACAGCTGCCGTGGGGAAGAGTCAGCCCTGGAGCCTGGGGCAGGAGTGGGGCAGGCGGAGAAAAGCAAAAGAGGGCACAGTGAGCCCAGTGAGGGGGTACATTCCAGTTCACCCAATCCTGTGCACCACCACAGCCCTGTGGCCTCCAGAGTCCAGAAATCCTGTCAGGAGGGCAGACACTATGGGCTGCTTCCCCATCCTGCTTTGTTCCTCAGAGGATCATCCATCCCCAGGAACATCCTCAAGGACAGAGGTGAAAGCATGGGCTTGGCCAGCACCCTGCCAGCAAGGGGCTGCACTGCCACAGGGATCCCACCCCTCCTGGCCGTCTATTGGTGGTGTACCAAGAGTCACTGTTGGTGCCCAGGAACTCAGGCTCCTGCAGAGGGCAAGGCCCAGGGCCCTAGTGACACCAGAGGGGCATCTCAGAAGCAGCTCCCTAGAGAGCTGAGGTCAGCTGCGTCTCATGTGCATCCCAAGTGAGG